AACGGTGAATCCGACCTACAGGAAACTGCAAGCCTGCTCTAGAAGAGCGAGACTTAGCCTTAGCGCGTGCTTTTCCCCCCTGCTTTCCTCGTCCAGACATTCCTACACAGAAGAATTGCAGCAACACGAGAATCATCCCTAACGGCGCTACTGGGCCTATTTATAGTCTGACTGAGGTTGGAAATTTTGCTATCTGATTGGCTGATGGCCTTCTACCCAATCAGAAAGTCTTACTAGAATCACCTTATTTGCATTCACGCCACTTCGCATTGTCCAATCAGATTTTGGATGCCCAACACGGCATTTGAGGGCCGTGCCTATAAATACCGCACCTTTCAGCCAGCAGCGCTATTCGTTTACTTGGCGATGGTGGGAGTTGAGGTGCTTTAGAGCTGTTTAACACTGAAGAGCTGTAACACTTAAAAGAGCTGTTTAACATCTAAAAGAGCTGCTTAACACCTAAAAGAGCTGCTTAACACTGCAGAAGTGCGTGGCAGTTATGCCGGACTTATCATCTAAAGGTGCTACGATCTCCAAGAAAGGCTTTAAGAAAGCTGTCGTTAAGACGCAGAAGAAGGAGGGCAAAAAGCGCAAGAGAACCCGCAAGGAGAGCTATTCTATTTACATCTACAAGGTGCTGAAACAGGTCCATCCAGATACTGGAATCTCTTCCAAAGCCATGAGCATCATGAATTCTTTCGTCACTGATATCTTTGAGCGTATAGCGAGTGAGGCATCACGCTTGGCTCACTACAACAAACGCTCCACCATCTCCTCTAGAGAGATCCAGACGGCAGTGCGGTTACTACTGCCGGGAGAGCTGGCTAAACATGCTGTGTCTGAGGGCACCAAAGCTGTCACTAAGTACACTAGCTCCAAGTAAGCCGGCCAAGTAAACGTTTTTATAACCCAAAGGCTCTTTTCAGAGCCACTTAAACATACTGAAAGAGCTGTGGACTTACCGTATGTTTCTGTGAAGGCTGTCTTCGTAAAGCCACTGAAAGATAATCAGCTGTGGGCTTAAGGTAGGCGAACTAGTGCCAACAAGACCAGCCTGGCGGGGCACCGTTAGTTAACGCCTGTGTACCCAGCACTTGAAATGGCGGACGCTGGCGGTTCACGCAGTTAGGAGATGGAGATCATCTTGGCCAACGAGCTGAAACTCCCATCTCCGCTAAAAATTCGGAAATCAGGTGGGCGTGGTTCGCTTACCGTAGTCCCAGCTTATTGGGAGGTGGAGGCAGGAGAATGGCTTGAACCTAGGAGCCGGAGGTTGCAGTGAGCCGAGGTTGTCACTGCACGCTAGCCTGGTGACAGCGAGACTCTCTCAAAAACGGTAGTTTGTATAAAAGCTACATCTTGATCGATATCGGTATGTTTAAGGTTAGCATTATGTATATAAAACTACAAAGTGCAGCCACGTAAACAATATAACTTGCATTATGATCCCGAATTTCTATAGACCTCCCAAAAACGCAGTAGTTGAGAGGAAGTTACGTTTTGTACCACAGGTAAGTCAAGGTGTGGAAATCATTTTGGGAACTCTGGAGAACTCACAAATCTGATTTGCAGGAATGAAACAGATTTAAAGTGTCTTGTAATTTTCTTAAATTTACAATAGTTTCCTTAATTGTGTTAACGGGTTGACCTCCATCTGTAAGGGCTCTCAAGCATTAAACTGATTTCAGCCACCTTAAAAACGAATCAAATGTTACTTCTTGGAAACCTGGTTAGCTGGAATTCTAAATCTGTTTAACGTATGTTCATTTAACCTTTTAATGAAATTTTGGATGTGTGTATGTGCTTTCTTTACATTAAAAAGTTAGTACCGGCCGGGCGCGGTGGCTCACGCCTGTAATCCCACACTTTGGGAGGCTGAGGAGGGCAGATCATGAGGTCAGGAGATCGAGACCATCCTGGCTAACACGGTGAAACCGTCTCTACTAAAAGTACAAAAAATTAGCCGGGAGTGGTGGCACGGCCTGTAATTGCAGCTACTCAGGAGGCTGAGGCAGGAGAATCGCTTGAACCTGGGAGGCAGAGGTTGCAGTGAGCCGAGATCATCCCACTGCACTCCAGCCTGGGTGACAGAGCAAGACTCCGTCTCAGAAACAACAACAAAAGAATATATCGATGTACAAGACCTGTTAAAATAAGTGCCCCCACACTTTTGTGAACAGTAAGGCAGTTCCTGCAAAGCCCCTGCGTGCTTTAGCTGGGAAATCTTCCAAGGAGGTGACAAATTGGGGGGAAGGGGCATCTAGCATCTATGCTCACCTTGTACTGGGGATGGGATCATCTCTAGTCAGGTATTCATGCTTCTCTAACACCTTGGAAAACAGCAGGTATCACATAACTGCCAAATAACCTGTCAACTTTGTGACCACTGTCAGTAGACTATCCTGATTATCCAAGGACTTTTAGGCTTATTTGGGCAATAGATAAGTAGGAATACCAGCAAATAAAAACTCTTTCAGACTAAACTTCATGTAGCTTTTATATCGATGTATTTTGGCTCCAAATAACAGGAAATGCTAGCTGGATTGGTTGAGATAATAAGTAATGCAACCAAACAGGACAACCTAAAGGCAGAGAAGTTCCACCAATAGGATGATCACAGCCCTGGCTCCACTACCCTGCAATCTTGCCTCTGCCCTTCTCCCCATTGTGATTTTGCCATCATACTGGTCACAGTTCCAAGTGTTCATGCGGAGATGATAAAGTAAAGGCAGGAAGAGTCACTCTATTCCACTGGGTCTTGGATTGAGAGCAAAAGGAGTCTTCCCAGAGGACCCTATTCCTCTCAGGTCCGTTTTCTAGAACTGAGCCTAGTTCAGGTGCTGCCTGAGTCATTCACCTACAGAAGACCACAGGATGGGTGTGAACTGATCATCTACCTTCATACATATTTGGCATTTTAAAAAGTTAAATATAGTTCTGGGTACTTTGTTTTTGTTGTTACTGTAAATGAGGTATTTCCTATTCATTATTTTTTAACATTTTGTTGTTATATATGTAACACTGCTTTCTGTGCATTTTTATTATTTTTTATATCCTTCTAGTACCTCACTGAATTGACTTACTTTGCTATTGGTTTCCTGGTAGATTTTCTTGAGTTTTACATGTCTGCAATACAGGTTGAGCATCCATAACCCAAAAAGCTCCAAAATTCAAAACTTTTATTGTATTATGGATTTCTTTCCTAGTCTAGCTGATCCTATACACAGCTTAATATAAATTTCTATGTACATGCAATAAAATATGTTTATTATTAATGAAACAATGCCAGATTGAGTTTTCAAAATATTTTTAAAAATGTGTGATATAGTAATATTTGTGCTTCAAATAAGATTGAAAATTATATTTTAGTGCATATATTGTAGAAAACACTATAGAATTTCCTCAAAAAATTAGAAATAGAACTACCATATAAATCCAGCAGTCCTACTACTGGGTATATATTGAAAGGAAATAAAATCAGATTCTCAAAGAGATATCTGTACTCCCATGTTCATTGCAGAATTATTCTCAATAGACAAGATGTAGAGAGAACATAAATGTCCATCAGCAGACGGATAAAGAAAATGTGGCATATATACAAAATAGAATACTATTTGGCCTTAAAAAAGAAAAAGAATCCTGTCATGGGCAGCAACATGGATGAACCTGGAGGATGTTAAGTGAAATGAGCCAGGCACAGAAAGACAAATGCTGTATGATCTCATAAGTGGAATTTAAAAAATGTTGAACTCATGGAAGTAGAGAGCAGAGTGGTGGTTACCAGTGGCTACAGCTGGGGAGTGGTGGGAAGATATTGGTCAAAGGATATGAAATTTCACTTAGGAGGAATAAGTTGAAGAGCTCTATTGTACAATATGCTGATTATAGTTGGTAACAATATGTTCTATTCTTGAAAATTGCAAAGAAAGTAGATTTGTTTCCGTAACGAAAAATATGTGGGGTAATGCATATGTTAATTAGAATGATGCTATTCCGCAATGTATACATATTTCAAAACATCATGTTGTACACAGTAAATGCATGGTTTTTATTTGTCAATTTAAGAAATGAAAATAGTTGGGCGGAGAGTGGATTTTAGGGAGACAAGATTAAGAGCAGTGAGATTAATTAGAAACTGTAATTCAGGTGAGAGATACGAGTATGCAGACAAAAATGGTAGCTGTGGAGATGGTGAATAATCAGACAACAGAAATATGTAGGAAGTAAAATTACCATATCTTGAGAGATTGAAGTGGATAGAAGTTGAACAGAGACTATTAGAGAAAAAATACATTTCCGGTTTGGACAACCATGTGAATAGGGTGGTACTCATGGATATAGAGAACACAGATATCCAGGAAAGAGTTCTGTTGGAATCATCCGGAAATCCCTGTGGAGAGAATTCTTAAGTGGCTAAGCAACATTAAGAACTGTGATATTGAGTAAGCAGTTTACTGGAGTTCACAGAGACGCAGAAACCTGCGGCTTTAAACCTCAAATCCCAGCAGATAAAGGGGAGTTAGCCTGATCACTTTTCATAGAGTGCAAGAAGAGGAGCGTAAAAAGCACAAATGTAGATGCTGCAAAGAGAGCTATTTACATCTACAAAGTGCTGATCAGGTCCACCCGGACTTGGAGGATGTTTTGCACACATTATGGCCAAAGTCAAGAAAAAGCAAACAGCCTAATGCTCAGTGCCAGACTTCCCTAAGTGGGCCTTTTTTGTCATCGTAGAGGGTTTGTAGTAGAAAAAGTCGTAGACAAAAAGTCAAATTTCCCCATGGCAGTTTAGCTTTCACCCAAACTGCTGCAGAAAGAGTTAATGCGAAGTTTAGACTTAAAGATAACCATGTATGTCTAGTCCAGGAAAAAAGTTTATCAGTCTGGCAATGACGCATACCCTATAATAAAATAAACATTCTACAGCCCTATTAGAAGCTTTCACTGGCTCTTAAAAGAGCCTTTGGTTTGTGGAGCTCATCTGCTGGCTGGATTATGTTTTACTTGGAGCTGGTGTACTTCGTGACAGCCTTGGTGCCCTCCAACACAGCATGCTTGGCTAGTTCCCCGGGCAGCAGCAAGCGCATGGCCGTCTGGATCTCCCTGGAGGTGATGGTCGAGTGCTTGTCATAATTCGCCAGGAGGGAAGCCTCACCTGCAATGCGCTCAAAAATGTCACTAACAAAAGAATTCATGATACTCATGGCCTTGGAAGAGATTGCAGTGTCCGGGTGGACCTGTTTCAGCACCTTGTAAATGTAAACAAAATAGCTCTCTTGGCAGCATCTCTTGCGCTTTTTACTCTCCTTCTTTTGAGTTTTAGCGACTGCCTTCTTGAAGCCCTTTTTGGAAGTTGTAGGGCCCTTTGAAGCAAGCTGCAGCATGTTCATCTTACAAGTTCACTGGGAGATCAGTAAGTGACGTTTGACTGGAGCGAAGTGTGATATCTACAGGTATGGCCCTCAACCTACGTCATTTGCATCCAACATCTGATTGGATAATAGGTAGAGGAAGTATGTAAATAAGGCAACAGCAGTAAGGTTCTCTGATTGGATAGATGGCTATCAGCCAATCAGTCAGATAATAAGCCACAATCTGCCGTCAGACTAGAAATACGCTGACTACCCGTTTTAACGGGTGTCTTTTTCCGTTATAACTTTTATTTTTAAGCTATGTCTTAGACTGGGGAAGCTCGGGGAAAAGGCAGGCGCTTTTCATTCAGAGAGGTTCTGCAGTTCCTCATGGGCTGTGTCCGCTGGCTGCTCAGCAAGGGCAGCTATGCTGAGCGGGTCGGGGGCGGCTCGCTAGGGTACCTGCCTGCGGTTCTGGAGTACCTGGCCTCCAACATCCTGGAGTTGGTGGGCAACGTCGTCGGGACAAGAACACCCTCATCATCCCACGCCACACGCAGCTGGCCGTCCGCAACGACGAGCTCAACAAGCTGCTGGGCCGAGTGACAATGGCCTGGGGTGACGTCTTGCCCAACATCCAAGCTGTGCTGCTGCCCCAAAAGATTGGGAGTCACTACTACAAAGTCCAGTGTGAATAACCACGCAAGTTGTAAAAGCCAGCGAAGTGACTTGAATGTCTAATGTCTAGAAGAAGAAGAAGAAAAAAAAAAAAAAAGGAAAAAAGAAAAAAAACCCAAAGCTGAAATCAAAGGCTCTTTTCAGAGCCACTCAATTTCTAAGTAAGAGCTAGTTTACAAAAAGGATTACAAAATGCTGTTTCGTCAATAAGACTACAGCTTTCATAAACAGGACTCAGAACAGTTCTGGTTATTGGGGTATCCGAAGCAGTTTCCTTTAATACTCGGTAGTATAGTGATTAAGATAAGGCCATTGGGATAAAATTAATGAAGGATACAGGGCACCTCTATATACTAGCCTTGCAATTTCCTGTGAACCTATAATTTTTTCAAAACAAAAAGTTAAAGAAAACCAGCCCCTTTTAGCTACGAGGCGACAGTATAACTCATATTCATTAGTTACTAGGTTTAAAAAAAGCCAGAGCTGGAGAAATCTGGGATGAAATAACATTATAAAAATAAATTAAAATTTTATGAAGAGAAATGTAAAGTCACAGGCTGGAGCAGGAACTGACTGATATAAGGGAAGACAATGATCCTAAACCTTAGTTACTTGGAAAACTAAAATATGATCCACATTCTCCAGACAATGCAAAAAACAAACAAACAAAGCACCTGGATATTTACAAGATATAACAACTTTAAGCATCTATGAAGTCACTTTTTTTAAAAAAATGTGGGTTTCTCAAATATTAGAAATTACTGATTAATATATTTGTTGGATTACAACAGTTATTAGACTGAACTTCTAATTTCATTAGGAGAAGAATAAATAACCATGGGGATGGTTTAAAATTACAATAAAATATAAGTTGCAAAAATTTAACCACCAAAGAATGGACTATATGGAATGCAAGATACTGACGTTACTGATGAGTTCCTTTCTCAGAAAAGTGAGTTTATTCTCAGATTTTTACAAAGATAATCCTGAAAATGAAATGGTTCAAAAAACCCATCTCAATTCTAACACATTAAGAAAATATATAAAATGTCTGCGCTTCCATGTTAATTATAGGATTACTCACAATAGCCAAGAAATGGAATCAAGTGTCCATCAATGGATGACTGCAATTTAAAAATGTGCTATATATACACAGTGCAATACTATTTAGTCTTTAAAAGGGAAATCCTGTCATTAGCAGCAACATGGGTGAAACTGGAGGATGTTAAGTGAAATAAGACAGGCATAGAAAGAAAAATATCACATGTTCTCAGTCATATGTGGGAGTTAAAAAAGTTGATCTCATGGAAATAGAAAGTAAAATTATGGTTACCAGAGATTGAAAGGTGGAGGAGGTGGTGGGGAATGAAGTGAGGTTGGTTAATAGGTAGAAAATAGAAGGAACAAGTTCTACTGTTTGATAGTATAGTAGGGTGACTATAGTTAACAATCACTTATTATATCTTTTAAATTAGCTAGAAGAGAAGATTTGTAATGTTCCCAACATAAATGATAAACATTTGAGGCGATGGATATCCTAATTACCCTGATTTGATAATTACACATTGAATGCATGTGTCAAAATACCACATTGTTAAAGTATACAAAATATGGCTGGGCTCTGGGGCTCACACCCGAAATCCCAGCACTTTGGGAGGCTAAGGTGGGTGTATCACTTGTGGTCAGGAATTTGAGATCAGCCTGACCAACATGACAAAACCTCGTCTCTACTAAAAATACAAAAAAAAAAAAAAACCAACCAACCAAACACAAAAACCCAAAACGGCATGGTGGGTCACGCCTGTAATCCCGGCACTTTGTGGGGCCGAGACGAGTGGATCACCTGAGGTCAGGAGTTTGAGACCAGCTTGGCCAACATGGTGAAACCCTGTCTGTACTGAAAACACAAAAATTAGCTGGGCGTGGTGATGGGCGCCTGTAATCCCAGCTACTCGGGAGGCTGAGGCAGGAGAATCGCTTGGACCCGGGAGGCAGACGTTGCCATGAGCCCAGATAGCTCCACTTCAGTCTGGGCGACAGAGCGAGACTCTGTCTCAACAACAACAACAACAACAACAACAACAATTAGTGGAGCATGGTTGTGCATGCCTGTAATCCCAGTTACTCGGGTGGCTGAAGCACGAGAATCCTTTGAACCAGGGAGGCAGAGGTTGCAGTGAGCGGAGATCACTCCAAGACTGAGTGAGACTCTGTCTCAAAAAAAAAAAAAAAAAAAGTCTACAAAATATCACATTATTGAAGTATACACTTGGCTGGCAGACAAAACGGACTCCCTGTGACAAACTGAGGCTCTCAAAACTTCAAACAGAACCAGAGGGCCATAGCTGGGTGAGGGAGTGTTCAAATACTCTGTGTTCTCAGAAAAATGTTGTTAAAGTATCACAAAGCCTCCCTTTCTACAATCAAGCCAAAACAGTCGTTATTGGTGCCAAAGTAAAACTACAGCCAGAGCCTCTGGGCAACCACTCCCAAGGTTAAAAGGATCATCCAACAGAGACTTCTGGGCTTGGAAGCCAACCAGTGTTCAGCAATGGTAGCCAATCAGAGTTCAGCCATATCAGGACTTGACTGTATTGACCAATCAGAGCTAAGTTACATTGATCAATCAGAACTAATTGAATTTAAAATCTTTATTTGCATAAATGGCCCTGACTGGGAACCTGGGCAGGAAACTTTTGTCATAAAACCAAAATCCAGTGGGGTGTAGTGACTCATGCCTATGATCCCATCATTTAGGGAGGTCAAGGAGGGAGGATGGCTTGAGACCATGAAGACTAGCCTGGGCAACATACTGAAATGCTGTTTCACCAAAACAAAACAAAACAAAACAAAAAAAACCTGGGTGTGGTGGCATGAACCTGTAATCCTAGTTACTGGGGAGGCCAAGGCTGGAATAGAAATAGGCACACTCATACAGCTGCTGGTGGAAGTGTACAATGGTATAATATGTATGGTGGGAAATTTAGCTGGATGTGGTGGCACACACCTGTAGTCCCAGCTACTCGAGAGGCTGAGGTGGGAGAATTCCTTGAGCCCAGGAGTTCAAGGCTGCAGTAGGTTAAGATCCTGCCACTGCAATGGGCAACAGAGGAAAATCCCATTTCTCAAAAAATAATAATAAAATAAAAACATAAATTAATACATTTCGTGGGGAATTTAGTAAAACCTAACAAAATAACATATGCCTTAACCATGGACCCAGGAATTCTTCTAGCAATCTACCCTGAAAATAAAACTCCACATATATGAAACAACAAAGATGTACATGGTTGTACATGCAGATTATTTGTAGTATAAAAAATTGGAAATAATGTTAAAGTCTATCCACAGAGAAATGTTGAGTAATGTCTAGAACAGACTCACAGCAGAACACCTGGAAAGCCATGGAAATGAATGAGAATCATCTTCATGTGTTGGTACAGAAATCTCCATGATATATTTGAAGTTTTTATAAAAAAGGTGAAAAAACTGTGTATTGAGTACTACTTTTTCTTTTTTTTGGTAAAAAGGAGGAACAATTTAAACCATGTTAATGATTTACAGGTTCAAGAAATAAAATTAAATCAAAAGGAAAATAAGCAAATTGACACTGAAAGCAAACTGAAATGAATGAAACAAATTGTATTTTGTATTGGCAACATGACTACACAGAGAATAGATTATTTCCAATGACTTTTGAATATAGTTCTCTGATGATACAGTCTTTATGAGATGCCTTCTATTTCTGCCAGAAACTTAAAAAAAAAAAAACTTTCAGGTTTTGTAAACCAATTCAAAGTATAGGAAAATACAGCACCTTCTATGTAATTCTGTGAGCTAGTGTTACCATGAAATCAAAACTAGATGAAGGAAACACAAGACAACCTGAAGCTAATCTCGATTACTAGAGTAGATGCAGAAGTACTAAGCAGAATAATATGAAATTCCATTAAGTAGTTTATTAAGAAAAAACTAATTGTGAAAGTACTTGGTTTATGCTTGCAATGCCAATATAGTTAAGGTCTTAAATGTCATCCACATTAAACAAGGGTTACGGAGCATGCACGTGTGACAGATACTGCTTCTGGCCTGGGAAAATTAGGTAATGTTTCAAGGAGTTTTTGTGTAATAAAACGGATAAATAAATAAACCACATGCTTTCAGAAAATCATAAATGTGAAAGAAAGCTGTGCTATAGCATATATATATATACAAAAGCTCACGAGAATTACTGGGTTGAGCATATGGTTCTGACTGGAGGGAGAAGAGGGTGAGAAAAGTTTCCCAAGGGGAAGAATATTTGAGTCAGATCTGGAAAAGGGTGTCACTAAGTTCCATGCAGAGAAAAGGGCAAGGTCCATTCAGGGAGATAGAAGAGAGTCATCAAAGGCACTAAGGTGTGGCCAGCCATGGCTTCTTTGAGTAGTAAAGACTAATCTAATATGACTAGAGAACATGGACATACAGTGGGGAGATATGACTGGATGGCAGCTTGATGTCAATTGACACAAACCTTTGTGTGGCATGCTAAGGATACTGGAACCTCTAATTTAAAAAGTAGACATCCAAGGCTTCTGAGTACAGGAGTGAATGGTCAGATGTGTGAGTAATCAAGAAACTGATGGCATCAATGTGGATAGATTGTAATGGGGAACTGGTGAAGTATGAGGAAACACACCTGTCCAGTTTGCTTGAGACAGAAATTTGGGATTCTCTTAGGCAGTCATTTAATCTCTATAAGCAGTCACAGAGCCAGGGTTGTGCTGGAGCTGGCTCAAATGAATGCAATCTTACTCACGAGGACCAATTATTAAAATTGCAGGAATTTTGCAAACTTCTTGTTAAACACCACCATTATTAAAAATTAAATTATAAAAAATTACAGTTAAATTAAATTTAGAAAGATGAAAATACAGTACATTTTACTATTTGCTCTCCATGCTCTTGAGGTTATTTATGTCAATTCTATCTGAATGGTAGAAATGCTATTTAGTGGTATGCTATTGTGCATCTCTTCCCAAATCTGCATTCACTAATGTATGGGTAGCTGGAAATTAGCCTGGTGGACATTCTCACACAATGGAAATCAACAAACACTGTAAATTAGGACTTTATTGTTGATTGTCTAGACTTAAGAAAATCTTGGAGAAAATGTTAATAATGTAGATTAATCTTAAAAGTGTGACATATCTGTAGCTATTACATTCTGAATAGACCAAAATATTATAGAAATATTATTTCAGTACCCAAAAACTATTATCCAGTTCAGCAAGTAGTTGCTCATGCCATTGACATCTGAGCAAAGTTTTGACATACTTTCATATTCCTTCATTTTTTTGAAATATGAAATAAAAGCACATAACATTTATGTCAGGACTGCACCCATTAGTTAATGTGTGAGTGACTTCTCTGATCAAACAGATAGTGAATCAAGCAGTTTGCAGTCTGATTTTGTGACACTATTGTTGGCAATAAAATTCTAAAATTGATAACATTTTTACAAGAAATAGTAATTCCTCTGAAGTTATAGGTCTAAACTGAAAATCAAGAAAGCAGTTTAGCTTAAAATTTATTTCTCAGATTATATACAGAAATGTTAGTGGAAGTTTTTACATTAACCTGCAAGTGGTAACATGGATTTTATTAACATATATATATATGGATATAGATGTGTAAATGTTTTGTGCGTGTATATGTGCATATTCACTTTTCTCTTAGAGCCAGTTGTTAAAAATGTACCAGCACATAACTATCTACAAACTATACATTTGAGAGAGGCCTCCAAATGAAATACGTGTATGGAGGACAATGAGAGAGAAAGGAATACTTTAACATTTACTTGGTCTTTGGTCTGAAATTCACACATGTTTTCCAATGGGTGTAATGCCAGATCATGGCAAGAACACCTTTTCCCCTCACTAAAAAACACAGAGAAAAAGTAAAACTTGCTCAGTCTGCGTTACAGACTTCCCTAAGGTGGAGGCCTTTTCTTAGGCTCCAGGTCTTTCTATTTCAGACTTACAGAATAATGAATCATCAAAGTAACAAAAACAGATGATCTGGCCTCTTTCTAGAAGGAACTAATCCATTACTCACAATACTCTGATATTGTGGCTGAAAGGTTCTGAGGGACCAAACCCATGTGAGTTTGGGCATCATCAGGGCATTTATTAGCTTGTCTCTTTAGAGCTTCTCCCTTACATGAAAAATTGGTTCTACCATATTTCATCTGTAAAGTTCAGCCAACAGATCCTGATAGGCTTTGTAGAAAAAGTGTCGTTGCACAAGATTGCTTCAGAAGTCTTTAAAGATATACTTGGGAAGCAAATTCACATATTTGACTTAAAAGACAGAGAGGATCACTCATAGGCAGATTTTGCAATCCTAACAATAAATAGTATTAGCTGTTATCAGTCTAGTGAACTTAAATGTTTACTGCAGCTTCAGATAATAAATTAAAACAAAAATGCATCATGTCTTATCTGTATTACCTGTCTTATCAAATTAACTGTATGATTCATAAATAGCATATAAATATGGAAACCATAGTTAAATCACAGCTCTTATTTTTAAAACTTAGTTGCTCTGAAAAAATCTTTAGTTTTGATGATCCTTCAGCAGCTTATTTTCAGGTGGAGTCCTCATGGAGTTCTTCAAAATGCAATGACATCCATGATTCTGGTATAACAACATTTATAAAGGTAATTAACTAAATAAGTCAATACTGATAAAATATTATATTCCTCACAATAGTTGCTAAAATGCATTAAAAATGCATTTAAAGTTTAAAATTCTTAATAAACTAAGGGTATTGGGATAAATTATAAAAATTGTTGAATGAATACATGCCAAAAGAAGGCGTAGCATCCTGAGTTCAGTAGTAAGATAGTTTTATTGCCATTAGAATCAGAAACCTCAAAAAAAAAAAAAAAATCAAACTCTTATCACCACCATATGCCTTGTTGTGGAATATTAGACAAGTTATTAAGCATAGAATTTAGCCATGGTCAACTATAAGACAATATCATACTTTTGGATGACTTAATTGTAGTCCTAGTATAATAGGTAGCTTCTAAGGTGGCACCCCATTATTCCTGCCTCCTGCTATTCCAACCCTGTGTATCCCCTTCTCACCCTGTACCAGGCTGCGCAACCAATGAAAAACAATATGGCAGGATTGATGGTATGCCACTTTAGAGGTTAGGTTTTAATGCGTAATATAACTTCTTTTAGTCACAAAGTAGGAAACAGAGCCAACAAAGCCACTGACTGATTCATCAGGGATAGACTGACAATAAAAAGAGTACTTTGTCACAGATCTTATAAGTTCACAGTATGCTAAAAAGTACCTTCGATTGTAATGACAGGGGCCTCTCAAAGCAGTTCACCAAGAATATCACCAACAGAGAAACTCATGATGTTTAAGGCTGCAGAGAGGATGGCAGTATCAAAGTGGATCTACTTTAGCACCTCCTACGGTTAGCAGAGCAATCAGCCCAGTGTATTCCTGCAGCAACATTGCCTGTCTTCCGGGTTAGGGCATTCAGGGTAAAGGAGCAAAGTGCAATTGTTTTGACATTCTGACAACAACACAGTTCCTGAGAAAGAAGAATAAATATGTAGATCATGGTAGATCCATGGGGAAATCTTATTTTAGGACTTGCATGTCCACAATGTAAGAGCTAGGCTTAAATGCTGGTTGGATTAGAAGCAATGAAAGGAGGCTTGTAAACTTGCAGCCTTTAGCTCAGCTGTCTGGAGAATATGATTCTAGGATGTCAGTAAATCAGCCAACAAATAACACTACACCTCCAAAGCTGCACAAATTCTTCAAGTATCTTTTAGCCAGAAATATTCTTCCAAGAAACCTACTGTTATGGACTGAATGTTTGAATGTCCCTCGAATTCATATGTTAAAATCCTAACCACCAATGGGATGAGATTAGGAAATGATTAGGTCATGAGGCTGGATTCCTCATGAATGAGATTAGTACCTTTATAAGAAGAGACATGAGAGCATGCTTTCTCTGTTCTTCACCACTGGAGGATACAACTCTCTGGAGTTGGAGAACACAGTTGTCCGCATATCAGGAAATGTGCCCTCATCGGATACTGAGTCTGTCAGTATTTTGAACTTCTCAGCCTTCAGAATTGTGAGAAATACACTTCTGTTGTTTAAGCCATCCAGTCTATGGTATTCTGTTACAGCAGTCCAAATTGACTAAGATGCCTAGGATATATTGACATTTGGAAATCTACAATATGGAATTTATAATTCCAAGCCAAAAGATTAAAAAAAGTGAATTCAAAAAACTCAAAATTTGCTAGAAGGGTAGATGTGTATATTTGTTACTTATTTTACACGAAAAACTTCTTAGTAAAACAAGAATAACATTATTCGTAATACATGGGCCAAATATATCTTAACCTAAACCCCAATGTCTTGTTTTATGGTGAAATATCAGTACTATATCTATGACAGTCAGGAACACAAAAGGTCTCAGATTGGTGTTACTGAACAGAGGCAAACACAACACCTCTCTGGAGAAACAATCTCTCAATCCATGGCAGGGTTAGCTGAGGTGAAACATTAAATATGAACTCACAATCTGAAATTACACAACACACCTGAAACAATCACGTATGAGCAAGAATCAGGAGAACACAAAAAGATTGGACATTCTTCTCCAGATCTTCAGATAATAAAACATCATAAGAAATTACAGAAACTAAGAAAGTAGATATATAAAACACTAATAAACTATTTATAAATACTATAAAGAAAAGGGAAAAAATGGGAGGAGTGAAGCGATGGCCTGCCCCTCCTACCTGTCGGTATATCTCGTCAGGTGGGATGAGAGATAGAAAAGAAATAAGACACAGAGACAAAGTATAGAGAAAGAACAGTGGGCTCACGAGACAGGCGCTCAGCATACAGAGGACCGGCACTGGCACCGGTCTCTGAGTTCCCTCAGTATTTATTGATTACTGTTTTCACTATCTCAGCAAGGGGAATGCGGTAGAAGAGCAGGGTGATAGTGGGGAGAAGATCAGCAAGAAAACATGTGAGCAAAGGAATCTGTGTCACAAATAAGTTCAAGGGAAGGCACTATGCCTGGATGTGCACGTAGGCCAGATTTATGCTTCTCTCTACCCAAACATCTCAGTGGAGTAAAGAATAACAAAGCAGCATTGCTGCCAACATGTCTCGCCTCCTGCCACAGGGTGGTTTTTCTCCTGTCTCAGAATTGAACAAACGTATAATCAGGTTTTATACCTATCCATTCCCAGGGGTAGGCAGGAGACAGAAGCCTTCCTCTTGTCTCAATTGCAAGAGGCCTTCCTCTTTTACTAATCCTCCTCAGCACAGACTATTCACGGTTGTCGGGCTTGGAGACGGTCAGGTCTTTCCCATCCCATGAGGCCGTATTTCAGACTGTCATATGGGGAGAAACTTTGGACAACACCCGGCTTTCCAGGCAGAGGTCCCTGTGGCTTTCCGCAGTGCATTGTGCATTTATCGAGAACGGAGAACGGCGATGACTTTTACCAAGCATACTGCCTGTAAACATTTTGTTAACAAGGCACATCCTGCACAGCCCTAGATCCCTTAAACTTTGATTCCATATTTGTGAGCTCAAGGTTGGGGCAAAGTTACAGATTAACAGCATCTCAGGGCAAAGCAATTGTTCAGGGTACAGGTCAAAATGGAGTTCCTTGTGTCTTCCTTTTCTACATAGACACAATATCTGATTGTGTCTATGTAGTCTGATCTTTCTTTTCCCTACAAGGAGACAAATAAAACCTAAAAAAATGAAGGCATTGAAAATAAAACTCAATACAAGTGAGTTTAATACCAAAGTAGACACTGCTTACTTCTTGAACTGTATGCAGGTAATGGCTTAAACAAATAGATTTTTATTTTTCCCAATTTATAGGCAGTTCAGAACTGGTATACCAGTTCAATAAAGCCTGAGGGACCCAAGTTTTTTTTTTATTTTTCTACTCGACCCCATGGTAGAATATATTATTGTTCACAGATACTTGCTGCCTTCCTCATACTTCTTGGCTGCATTAATGTCCATCTAGATCATGTGACTTACTTTGATCAATTCAATTTAATTACAAATAACATGTTTCCAGCCATAAGTTTTTACACATATTCTCTCTTTTCTGTGCCATGAGACTGGCTGCAATGTTTCAAATGGAAGCTGTCCATAAGCCTGGTCTCAACAGGAAGATGATGTGGATCACAGCTGCTGCTGGTCTGTGCTAGACATGTATCTTGAAGCAGGAAATAAAATTACATTGTATGCCACTAATTAAGGCTTCATATCTTACCACAGCATAACTCTCCTTTTCTAACCAATGCAGAAATTAGTACAAGGTATAGCATAGGGTGTTGCCATAAATTAAAAACAAAATAAGACAAAGCACCACCATTTTTGAGGCATTAGCTTCAGGGATGGGATAGAAGCAGAAAAGAAGCTGTTATTAGAGTTTAGAAGGGCAGTAGTACTTAATTTGCACAGGTGAAACATTTAGAAAACTTTAGAAACTAATTTATAGGTAATTTCCCTATTGAGCTTACTATTTTTGGTGAAATTCTTGGCATAATTAATATAAATTGTGTGATTTACTATTGACTATATTTAACAAAGTATAATAAGACAAGACATAATCTCACAAAGTAATTAGCTGGTTTGAAAATCAGAATGAAGGAAATTGAGAGAAACTAAAAACTCTAGACTTACTGAGTTGAAAGACACTATTTCTCAACTCCCAACAGTTAAAGATAAAACTGACAAATGATTTAAGTAAGAAAGTCCTTTTAAAGCTTGGCCTTGTGCAAGTATCAAACCAAGGTGGTAACCATTCATAAAAATAATGAAGCAAAGGTGATGGCTTTTCTATTGAAGTCTGGTAGGCTCAAAGTAACCCATGTCATAGAGAGAGAGAGAGAGAGAGTGAGAGAGAGAGAGAGAGAGAAAGGAGGGAGAGAGAAGCACTTATATAGGAAACTGGTTATGATTTTGAGTGACATAATACCACAGAACTACCAGCCTGGATAAAGGAGGCTGTGACTCATCAAGGGTTACATCACTTGTGTGTGTGGGGGGTGTCCTCTTTAAAAAATTTTTTTTTTGTCAGCAATGGGCTAAGCATTCTGCCCAGTCTGCAAGGACTATTCAAATATGGTCAAAGGAGATATTGGAAAAGGAAGGACTGACCAGAGCGTGAAGCCAAGACCTGTGAAAAATAATATCCTGGGGGAATTACTCATGGTGTGCACAGCCACAGATTTATTAGCGACTATCTCATGTGGGGAGATAGGACGAAGACTGAAATAGCTACCCACATGATCTCAGATTTCTTTGAACTACAAACTACTGTGCAATTCTGTCTGCAATTATCTTTTCTGTGTCCTAGCATGACACATTGGGTGTGCATGGGTGTGTAGGCACACACTTTGTCTCATTAGTTCATGAGTTTCTGGAGCAAGACAAGTCATATTCAACCTGATGAAAGAATATCATAAAATTGTCAACATCAGCCCTGAAGCTATAATTAAATAAGACTTTGAATCGACTTTTCATAGGAAGGGAGTAAGTATGTTTTGTGTGCAGAAGGGATAGTTAACTAACTAAATAATTTTGAATTGAAGCTTGGACAGTGATAGCTTATATTATTATTCAAAAAATTTCCCTGGTCCTCCCCTGGAAAGAATTATATTTCTCTATCTTGGTTCTATTGGGCTTGGCCATCTGACTTGCTTTGCCCCATTAAATTTGAGTGGAAGTGACACCTAGGCAAAACCTGTAAGAGCGAACACTTGGCTCGCCATAATTTCTCTTTTACTTCTGCCATGAGACCATCCATGTTCCAAATAAAGCCTGATTTGTCAAACTGGGCCCTGAAGTGAGGAAAACATGGTGAGAAGCCATAGCCAAGACACAATGTTCATGAATTGTGAACAGCACATAAAACTTTGTTATTATAAGCAATTGAGATTTTTGGGTCATTTGTTATCCCAGTGTAACTTAGCTTATCCTGACTGATACAGCCACCATCAGTTTATTGGCTTTCATCTTGCTCTTGACTCATGAGCCATCAGGTACTTGCCACACCTCGAGACCTGACATCCACTGTTAAGGCAGAAGGAAAAAGAAAAAAGAAAAAAAGATGAGACACAGGCCTACTTCTTTTTATGCATCAGTGGCCAGAAATGTGTAGGTCCCATTTGTTTCAAGGAAGCCACAGAAATGAAGTTTTTGTTTCTGTATTTCTTATAGTAGATACAAGCTAGGGCACAGAAACTTGGAAATGTAGTTTGGCTTAACCAATTAATAGTGCCAGCCACAGAAACTCATCTACTGCTGCTTCTCCCCACAGAGTATGTGCTGTATATTTGCTATAATACAATCGTGCGATGCTTAACCATGGTTATACATTCTGAGAAATGTGCTGTGCGGCAGTTTTGTTGTTGTGTGGATACCATAGAGCACACTTACACAAACCTAGATGGTAGAGCTTGCTATACACCTAGGTTACATGGTCTAGCCTATTGCTCCTGGGCTACAAGCCTGTACCACATGTTACTGTACTGAATATTGTAGGCAATTGAAACAGTGATATTTGAGAATCTGAACATATCTAAACATAGAAAAGGTATAGTAAAAGGATAAAAAATGGTACATCTAGGACACTTTTCATAAAAGGGGCTTGTGGGACTGGAATTTACTCCGGCTGAGGCAGTGAGTGAATGTGAAGGCCCAGGACATGCCTGTACACTGCTGTAGACTTTGTAAACACTGTGCACTTAAGCTACACTAAGTTTATAAAAAAATTTATTTCTTCAATAATAAATTCTAGCTTACTATTTCATTTTGACTTTATAAACTTTTAAATGCTTTTGAACTTTTTGACTCTTGTAATAACAGCTTAAAACACAAACATATTGTACTGCTGTACAAAAATATTTTCTTTATACCCTTATTCTATAATCTTTGATCTATTTTTAATTTTTTAAAATTAAAAAATATTTATTAAAACTAAGACATAAATACGCAAGTTAGCCTAGACTGACACAAAATCAAGACCATATTAGAGGCTTCTTGGAAAATCTATTTTCATGTGTTTTATTTTTCTAACAACATTGGTAAAACATTTGCAATCATCTTGGGGAGCTGGGCATCACTGACAGGAGGAACTGCAAGTGCAGAGGCCTTGAACTTCATGGAGAAGGCAGAACTGGATGGAATTTAGTGAGGGAAGAACAGCAGGGCAGAGGTCAGTAAGGTTGGTGTGTCCGAGGTGATGTAAGGCATTGGAGCACCTTCAGGAAGGTCAATTTGCTCTCTTTTGTCCTAGGTTCTCTGGGAAGGCTTTGGAAGACTTTTATACCAGTAAGTAACATGAGCATATGTATATTTCCAATATTCTGCCTGCTATGCGTGATGGATTAAAAGAGAGAGAATTGAAACAGTGGGGCCAGGTAAGTAATCATTTTATTTACCCTGGTGATAGATGATTGTGATAGGAATGGAGGAAATAAAAAATAATGGAAAGAGATGAAGGTGGAACTGATAGAACATACTGTTGGAATGAATGTTAATGGAAAGTATAGAATGAAGGCTGATTTTTTTTGGCAAGATTAACAGGGAAATGGTGATGCCATTAACCAAGATGAGGAATCCTGGGCCAAGAGTAGGGTTGGAGGGGGATTCAGTTCTGCTTGCCATCATAAGACTGTGATACCTAATGGGTACTCAATGAGAGATGGATGAAGTTGAAGTCGAAACCCAGAGAAGAGGTCAGAATCAGGTGTGAAAGGAAAGGGGACTGGCTGGGATCTCCTTGGGAGTGAGTTTAGATAGGAAGGAAATTCAAGGACAGAGTCTTGGGCACATCAACAGTAGAAACCAGAGAAAAGGTAAGGATTCAGCAAAACTTACTGAGAAGAAACAACCAATGAGACACGAGGAAAATCAGATCCGATGGAATCAAATGAAACAAGGCATCAAGAAGGAACAAGTGATGGAATCTGTCAAGCACTGACAGATGAGGCCTGGGATATGACTGCTGGATTTGCTGGCAGAGAGGCTGGTGATGGCTTTGCTAAGGGCTGTCTTGTTGCTGATGGATTCATGAGAAAACTAGAGGTGGGGAAACAGAATGTATGTATGAGTCTTCTGAAATGTTTTGCCATAAAAGGGAGGAGAATCACAGAGTTAATTTTCACAGAAAACTCATTGGCCTTTGTGCAAAATGTTACAATCAGAAAACCACAAAAATCACTCATGTCGACCAAAATGTGTTAAGTCTCTCCTCTTTGGAAAACTCAGTTCTATTAAATAGGAGGATGGTGGAAAAGGGACCCAAAGGGAACAAATATACCCCATCTCCATGAAGATTATAATAACTCTGAGAAACCCCAGAAGGGGACAGTGCTGTCAGTGAGGCATGTGGGGTGTCAGGATCCTTATAAGAAGGGACATTGATTGTGATTAAGGATGAGGGAAGACATAGGTGACCTCAGCTGGGCTTGAAGCATGAGGAAGATTTAATGAGCTTGATTTGCTTATCAATCAAACAATAAAATGTAAAGTTAAAAGTTAAACCACTGAGCCAATAAAATCCTCCAAGCTGGTAACATAAGGGCTAAAGGTTTTGGGTAATTATTTACCTCCCAGAATTAGACAATTGCAAAGAGCTTAGAGAAATTTATTTGAAAGGAATGAGGATCCTGCACTCTTCCTCCCTCAGGTTAGTTAGCTTTCAAACTTTTACACTTAATATTCTGCTTTTGAGATGATGGGAATGGGTCTTTTTCCATTAGAGAGCAGCTTAATTTGCTGTTTGGGGGCAGAGACTGTGGGAGTGGAGAAGAGAATGCCTGTGTCCTGAGATAATTCTGGTAAGTGAGAAGGGATGTTGCATTAAGTGCCATGGAACTACAGGGAATAAATTCAAGAGAATGAAATTTTCTAAAAGTATAGCTGAACAGAGACAGACAGACAGACACACACACACACAGGCACACAGAGAGACAGAGGAAGAGGAAGAGACAGAGAGAGGAAGAGAGAGAGAGAAGAAGAGAGAGAAAAACTAAATGATATATTTGGATTGCTTTTGTGAAATACATTAATTTTTTTAAGCATTGATCAAATCCACAGTGCAACAATAAATGCCAATACTGAATTCTCACAGAGGAAGATTTTCATCATGCCTAAAATATCAGTCAAAACCAAACTGTTCTGGTTTGGTTCCAGTGAATTTATGGGAAAGCAAAATAAATGAAATCTAACCTGGCTTTGGGAAGTGGTTAATGATGAAGAGTTTAGGGCAGAGGACTTTATTTGCAAACTGTGAGTGAGAGCCATTTGCAAACAAGTGAATGCTTGCCCTCCTCTCCTGATGCTAATGACCATAGGGAGGAAAAATGTTCAGTGCTGAGACCACATAAGCTGACATTTGAGCTATTAATAGCTCTGCACAGCACCTTAAGGAAAAGTCTCATTCTACAGTGAACTGATGACTAGCAGAGGAACAGGATGCATATGAATCCAAAAAGAACGGATACAAGCAGTCTTGACAAGAAAAACTGATGAGAAATTGATATAAGAATGGCTGGCTCCATTTCTTTGCTGTTTTTTCCTCATTTACCTGGTTTCAAAATAAATAGATAAGGCTGATGACTTACAAATTTATATTTCTACCAAGGCCCTTCTGTTCTTAGCTATGGACTCACAGACACAAAACTCACCTGTCAATCTTCCCTTCTGAGTCTAACAGGAGTCTCAACCCCTATGTCCAAAATAAAGTTCTTGCTTTTCCTCTGAAACCTGCTGCCCTCCCTGTTCATTTCCCCAACTTTGAGTGTAACACTTTCACTCATTTGCTCAAGTCATAAGTCTGGAAGTCTCTGATGATTCTTCCCTTTCTCTTGTTCCCATATACACCTCCTTAGCAAGTCTTAGTGGCATATCTCCAAAACAGGTCGTGAATGTGGTCTTTTTCAACACAGCTAGCCTAGCCCATCCACCATCAACACTTGCACAGGTCAAGAAACAGCTTCTTGTTCAGTCTCTTGGTTTTCAATCTTGTCCTTTATAGCCCATGTGCCACACAGTGGCCATAGTAAATCCAGTCCCCTTACCCGGCCTACAAGACCCAAAATGGTCTGGTCCCTGCCCACCCCTTTGATCTCATCACCTACCATTAACCTCCTCATTCACTCTGCATCGCCACGTTGGACTACCTTCTGCCTAGAAAAACGTGACAGACTTGCTGGTTCCTTTGCCTGGCATGTTCTTGCTCAGTGCTGCCTCCTTCTCAGTGTTTCCATTTCAGCTCAAATATAACCATTTCACACAACCACACTAGGTAAAGTGGTTAGACTAAGCAGAGTGCTTGCCCTCCTCTCCTGATGCTAATGACCTAGTTTCTGTCAGTGCTACTCTTATTTTTTCATACCATGTGGCATTCTTACTTCTTTCTTTTCATATGTGTCCCTCCTGGGATGTAACTTTCTCACAGGTGTACTGTCCGTGCCTGCATCCCTTGCCCCACAACAGCACTGTCCTCCCTTCGCCCTCGGCTGTCTGTTCCCACTGCTCTCATTAACGTCAGCAAAACCATGATCGCCCATTACTGAAAAAACTGGCAATTGATTGCTGGTTATAATAAGCACAAGGAGAGGGCAATTTAATGATTACTAAGTCCTTCAGTCATGCAGGAGATGGAGCTATGAAAGCACAACATTGCATTCATTGATTCAATAAATGTTTACTCAATCAATGAATGAACTTGTGGTCAGTGAACTCTTAGATGTTGGAACACTAGAAGAGTCTGTATGGGTATACCCTGTGGGAAAAAATGTTACCCTGAAAGCTATGTCTTTAGTTCTTGTGACTGATACGAGTTTTTCAATTCAACTAATTGCCCTGAGGTGTGAAAATAAATCATAAGCAAATTATTTTTCCAGCAGACTATTCAGTCCCCTCATTTTACCAAGTTTCTTTTCAGAGTTACTAGAACTATTCCATTTGCCAACGAGTATTTGTTTGGATTTTAATTCAATTTTGAGTGTGTTTTTGAATTCCAGTGCAGACTAGAGGGCTCCATGGTCTAACATCTGTGGTTTTGAAGGACATCATTGAGGCAACTTCTCTGTCAGTTGCTCACTTATCAACTTTAGTGGTGACATTACGTAACATTTCCACTTATCTTTAAACACAACAGCACCAAAGGATCAGGTCTATTTTCTTTTATATTAATAAGAAGAGTCCTTCACAGAGAGCACGTGAAAAATGATTTCATTTCACCAGCACCTACTGCTTATCCCTTTACATTTTATTCCTTTACGTCTGCTTGGTGTTGTAACTTCATCGTATCCTTTACATCTGCTCGGTGCTGTAACTTTATATCTGCTTGGTGCTGTAACTTCTCTGATCATTTTCAGTAGTAATGGGTTTATTGTTTATTTGTAGTCTTCAAATAATCTCATTTTGTAATTAATGGATCCAGTCCAATGAAAACCAGAAAATTCCAAACTTGATCTAAAAGTAAACCTTCATTCTCCTGCCCCGCCACCCACCACTCCAGCTTGGTTCTGGGGAGGGAAGGGATCATTTGGTTGGCTTCTTGTTTCCTTTCTCTGTCAGCAACTACTCTCACCCCTCTTGCTAGCTGTCGCTTCTGATCTTTCCATGGCTGGTGGGTAGGGAGTTAGAAGCAAGAAGCAGGAAGTGTCTTTCTTAGCCAGAACTCTTGTGCCTTGGCATTGGTGGTCTCTGGGTTGGATGAATGTTCAATGCTGAATCCTTTATTGTACCCCAGTGGTGGCATCCACTAGTCCTCCCATGTCAGGGGTGATATGTGTTCACTAACTCAGCAGTTAGGGTTCCTTTCTCAGGTGCTGGGCATCAGACAGTCTGTCCTCTCTTTTGGGGTCATGTGGCCTCTCCAGACAGTTCTCATTTTAAGAGAATGTAAACTGGATTTTTCCTGAGTCATCCATATCTGGTTCATAAGGGACCTGCTGGTCTCTACCTGTGCATCTTCACCCCTGCTGCTGTGGGATGTATCACAGCCTCCAGTGTGGTGTAGACCTTTGCTGTGCTCTGCAGCCTCAGACCAGGAGTCACCACCTCATGCCCTTAGATTCTGAGGCATGTGTCACTCACCTTTACATACACACAAGCACACATACATAAGGGACATAGGTCAAGCTCCCTGAATGACCCCCTTGCGGGCAGCTCCTATCATTTGACTTGAAGTGACGGGGCAGTGCCCTCCTCATTTCTTTCCTGGAGTGAAAATGAATACCTGACAGAGAATACCAGCAACTGACTCTAAAACACTCACCTTCTTCATCTCAGCCTACCTGTGTCCCTGAAATTTATTTTTAATTACAGTAATAATTCAAATTACATTATTGTTGTCACACATGTAAACAACAAAGACAAAGTTCAACTCCTGCATGGCCATTCCTGCCCTCCCCATTCCTTTGCACAGAGAGTTTCTATTTCTTCCTGGTTTAATCTAGGAGGGTTTTATGTTTCCAGGAATTTATCCGTCTCCTCTAGGTTTTCTAGTTTACACGCGTAAAGGTGTTTATAGTAGTCTTGAATGATATTTTGTATTTCTCTGGTCTCAGTTGTAATATCTCCCGTTTTGTTTCAAATTGAGCTTATTTGGATCTTCTCTCTTTTTTCCTTGGTTAATGTTGCTGGTGGTCTGGCAATTTTATTTATCTTTTCAAAGAAGCAGCTTTTTGTTTCATTTATTTTTTGTATTTTTTTGTTTGTTTGTTTCAACTTCCACTTAGTTTTGCTCTGATCTTGGTTATTTCTTTTCTTCTGCTGGGTTTGAGTTTCGTTTGTTCTTGTTTCTCTAGTTCCTTGAGGTGTGAACTTAGATTGTCTATTTGTGCTCTTTCAGACTTTTTGATGAAGGCATTTAATGGTGTGAACTTTCCTCTTAGCACCGCTTTTCCTGTATCCCAGAGGTTTTGATAGGTTGTGTCATGGTTGTCGTTCATTTCAAATAATTTTTAAATTTTCATCTTGATTTCATTGTTGAGCCAATGATCATTCAGGAGCAGGTTATTTAATTTCCATGTATTTGCACAGCTTTGAGAGTTCCTTTTGGAGTTGATTTCCAATTTTATTCCACTGTGGTCTGAGGGAGTACTTGATATAATTTCGATTTCCTTAAATTTGTTCAGACTTGTTTTGTGGCCTATCATATGGTCTGTCTTGGAGAATGTTCCATGTGCTGATGAATAGAATGTATAGTCTGCAGTTGTTGGGTAGAGTGTTCTGTAAATATCTGTTAAGTCTATTTGTTCTAGGATATAGTTTAAGTCCATTATTTCTTTGTTGACTTTCTGTCTTGATGACCTGTCTAGTGCTGTCTGTGGAGTATTGAAGTCCCCAACTATTATTGTCTTGCTGTCTATCTCATTTCTTAGATCTAGTAGTAATTGTTTTGTAAATTTAAGAACTCCAGTGTTAGGTGCATATATATTTAGGATTGTGGTATTTCCCTGTTGGAATAGTCCTTTTGTCGTTATATAATGTCTCTCTTCATCTTTTTCAACTGCTGTTGCTTATAAGTTTGTTTTGTCTGATATAAGAATAGCTACTCCTGCTTGCTTTTGGTGTCCTTTTGCGTGGAATATCTATTCCCACCTCTTTACCTTAAGTTTATGTGAATCCTTATGTTTTAGGTGAGTCTCTTGAAAACTGTAGATGCTTGATTGTTTACCTGTCTTTTAAATCTTTATATGCTTTTATATATGTATCCAATTCTTTGATAACCGTGTAGTATTCAGAAAATATCTGCATTTAATTATGCAAATATTAAATAATCATTAGTTAGTTCTTGACTTTTTGCTTTTACAAATATTGCTTTAAGGAGTGTCCTGAAACATACTCTTCTGTGTGGCTGTGCCTATTAGTCTCTGGTACACACCATGAAGCAGCAATACAAGTGAGAAGATGCAGCTTGACTTCCTGAAATAATAGCTCATTTCCCCACATTTTTGACTAAGCTTGGTGGTAACAGTCTTTTAAAATGTTTATGAAAAGTAATAGGTAAGAAATAATAGGATCTTGTTCTTTTAATATCCATGTCCTTGATAGTGAAGTGATGCACATTTTCCCATGTTTGTTCTTAATCTATATTCATATTCGTTCCAATAGTTTCCTACTTTTTACCAATTTACTGTATTTTATTTTTTTATTAGCTAGAAGTTGAACAAATACTACTTCATATCTGATAGAATGCTGTAATCAATTTCTCCCCTTCTAAAAGTGATCTTTTATGGTATCTATTATTATCAAGTCATCTTTTATGGTATCTATTACTATAAATAAGTTTTGTTCTTTTCGTGTCCTGCAGTATCCTTAAATATGTTTAGGTGTAGATTCTTTTCATTTCCCTAGCTTGAGACTCATTTTGATTCCTGAATCTGAGAAATCTTATGGTTTCATCTATTCTAAAAAATTCCTATCTGTTATTTCCTAAAGTATTGCCTTTTCTCAATTCTCTTTATTTTGTCCTCCTAGAAGTCCTATTCAACATACATTGGACCTTTTCACTCCATTTTCCAGTTTCTTAACTTTGCTGTCATCCCTCATCATCTCACTGAGCTTTATTCTGTATAATTTACATAGCTCACTGCCTTTAATTTTGCTAATTCTTTCATTAGCTATCTCTAGTCACTTAGTTTAAAATTTTAATGCCTAATTATTTTTATATTTCAAGTAGTATCTTTCTTAAATCTGCCTGTTCTTTTTGGTATCTTTTTATGTTTTAGGGTCCATATTTTATTTCTTCAATTATTTAAAGCATACTTATGTAATGTCTTTGTCAGTTTATTCTATTTTTGGAAGTTCTCAGTAGTTTAATTTTGCTATGCGTTGAGTCTGAAAACTTGTTTTGGATGGATCATTTCTTTGAGTGTTTATGATTTTTTATTTTGAGCTCATAATATATAGAGCTTCATGTGCAGTAATTCTGTGTAATCTGTTTTGAGCGAATCAGACTGGGCTTGATTCTTTGGTCAGTTTTTTAGCTGGGGATGAATTCTCAGACAATGAAGGAAATATGAATTTCAACCCTCAATTCTCCATAACCTAGATACGAACTTTCACAGTTTTCAGGTAAAGTACTTTATTTTCAAACCACAACTCAGGACAAAGAGGGTTGTCACTGTTATTGTTGAAAGCGGAAGAGCCTCTTTAACCAAGTTTTGAACCCCTTTGAGGCATCTAACTGTATATTAGAATCTCCCTTATAATCGCCTCCCTGGCATGGGCCTACGGCTTCATCCTTCATCCCCACAGGGGCTTAGATCTCAGGCCCCCACATCACTGAAATTGATGCTTCTGTGCCCCAATCTCATGGTCACTGAAGTTAGCGCAGACATCTAACTTGATGGATGTATCTCTTACTGTCTTTGCAGCTATGTAAAAGGGTGTTTGCTATATTTTATGTAATATGTATAGGCGGTTATAATAGTTTTTCAGGTAATTTAATCCACTCGAATCTCCTAGATGAAATTGCAAATAAGGTTGTCAACTTTTCATGTCCATTTAATACTAATACCAATTTAGAGACATGGGAACACAGAACTAGAAAGGATATTACAATTTATGAAGGCAATCCAGGCCAGATTCCTCACTTGTGAGACACAGATACTAAGACCCAGGGTAAACTGCGACCTTTCAAAGACCAACCAATTGGTTAGTGATAAAGCCAGGATGACAAATTAGTTTTCACGAACCCTAATCTAGCACTTTTCTTATAGAACAACATTTGCTCCTAGTTCTTAGAAAGAATTGGGGCGGTATCATTTAAGATTCTCTCTGTATTTGCTTTTGCATTCTTTTTATTTTAGTAAGTAAATGTCAGTCCCTGGGAAGAGAGAACCAAAATGTCTACTGGACCAGATGTCAAAGCTACAGTGGGGGACATTTCCAATGATGGCAATTTAAATATGGCTCAAGAGGAATGCTCCAGGAAAGGTAAAATCATGCACAGTAATCTGGTAGTAAATAAAACTAGGATCTATGGCACCTTGACTTGTGTTAGTAAATAAAACTAAGATCTGTGGCATCTTTTGTTGATACACATCATTTTCCTCACTACCACCAATTGCCAAGAATTCTATATGGCTATAAATAGTTATTGATAATTATTTCATTTCTCACAAGAAACTTTGAAGGTATATAAGACAGGCAGGTATCATGACATTATTTAGAGATGAAGGAAAAAAATCAGAGTAGGTTCTAAGTAGGAAATATAGAAACCAACCTTGGCTTGTCTGATTCTAAGCTCAAGACATGTCCCATTGGTTCTCTCTGCTCGTGTTAAATCCAAACCTGACCCCGATCCCAAAATAAGCTTTTTGTTTCTAGCATGTCATAGACGTCACCTTTCTTCCTTTCTCTTATCTATATTAAAATATCATGCTTTTTATAATATGCATTAAGGGAAACGGTAGAACATCTTATTTTACCCTAAATGCTTAATGAGTTATGACTATGTTATCCATTAATTCTTTTAAGGATATAGTCATTTCATAAGATAATGCCTTTAAAAGGCAAAACACTAACCAAGATGGAATGCTTTGTAATACTCAACATTTTAGCCAGTTTGTCTGTTTTGTCTGTTAAGAATTATGCATATCTTCAAGAAAAGAGATTTCTCCTAATCTCGTCCATCACAGAAGAAATCAGGAAATTTGCATATTAGTACTCATCCTACAACTAGTCACCATTGGACCCAGAATTAATACTGTTCCAGTAGTCTTGGCTGAAGGTCTCATCTGTTTCTAAGGACTTCAGAGTCTACTAGACTATACCATTGGCCAAATTATTTTATCATTCTGTCTCTCCCTCAAAATTGGTAATGTGAAGAACTTGTGAGTAAAATTTTACCAAGGTACAGTATGGCATACTGGATAAAAGCACAGGTCAGAAATCATAATGCTTGAGTTTGCAATCCTGATTCTGCCATTTTTGAGCTCATTATTACCACTCACATAGTGTCCCTTCCTCAGCCCACCTTTTGGCAGTCATTGGGAAGTTCATCTATAATTTGTTTAAAGTGGAACCCCTATAGTCTTCCTGGTTTCTTCTATAGTCTCCTACAACATCTGGCCTACCATGCCACCCAGTCCGCTGGTGACCACTCTGGGCTATAGCTATACTGGACAACAACTTTGTAACCAACTTTACCCCAGCTTGTTGTTTCAAACAGCATCATGCTATTAACACTCATCCTTTTTTGGCAGTCTCATCCTACCTAATAAGGCAGAACCCCAGCTACTCCTCCAAGCCTTACCAAGTTTTGTTGTGTATACGAGTATTTCTCACAAATGCTTAGGAATAAACCTTACTGATTGCTTCTTCTGTTGGTGTCCAACATCAGTTTTCCTCTCATCTCCTTCTCTGGCTCATGCTTACTGGGCATGGCTGGATCTTCTGTATCAGACTCCCAGGGCACTACTGGGGCTTCCTCTGGGTACCAGTACTCCCATCCCCAAAGGCTACTGATGTCTTTGCTGTGCTTCTAAGACACTTAGTGAGCTGAATCCAGGTGTTCCATGGGATGTGGAGAAATGCCCCCTCCCCCATTATCTGGTCACCTGGTTACACAAAGGAACTGCTCCAATAACCGAGAAACCTTGAGTGAAAAAAGCTGGGCCTTCAGGTTCTGCCTGAAGATCAGTAGTTTTTCTCTCTCAGGCTCAGTTAGGGATTTCTGGGACTGGGCTGGAGACAGACATCACTTTGACCTTCTGATCCCCTTTCCCCCAGAGGTCCATGAGCTTCTGTATCAGTCTGAGTTATATCACAAAATCAAAAGCAAATCTAGGTATTTCTGAGAAGAAAGATTAATATAGGGGACTGGAAGATTCCACAGATGTTGGAAGGCTAGGGAAGCAAAAGTCAGGTTGGTTACTTTCAGAAAATCTGGGACATTACACTGCCAATGATCCCAGCCATGTGCATCACAAAGTGGATGTTTTTGAGACGGACCCCTAAAGTCACAGGCAGAAATCCCATGTCTAACATGACTGATTCTCGCTTATCAACCTGCAGCTGCCTCCAGAGCATAGTGGTTTCTCACTGAGTTCAGCCTGACACATTGTGCCAGAATGTCCTCATTTGTGGAATCTGAATGGAATCCTGAGGATTGTAGCTTCCAGATATTTGTGCCTCTGTTACTGTGGAGACCACAGAAGGGTGGGAAAGGCACTGAGAACAAAATCAGGGACAGTGTCCTTTCTCCATATCAAATGCCTGCAGGGAAGACATATTGCCCCCCTCCATGGGGAAGAATGCCATCAGAAGGCCCATTTACAATAGCACCCCCTTCTGAAAGCCGTGGAAATGAGTAAAACAAGCACAACACTTGAGAAAGTATTTCCATCTAGGTTGAAACTAAGGAATTATTCCTACCACACACTACAAACTCCAAGTCTTGCAGACAGATTTAATACACTTTGGAAGAAATAGAGAGAGGAGCCAAGAGCTGATAAAACTCCCATCTTTGAGGCATGGTGCAGTGTTACAGCAAGAACAAAGAGGATGCTGTGGAGCTTCAGCTCGTGCTGCCCAGCTTGGAGTGGCAGTGTCCAGAAGCTGGGCAGACCACAGACCCCATGAGCCCCTCAAGGGTCTACAGTGCTGGGATGTGCTGGGTGAAGCGTGCATGGGCCCACGTTCTGCAGCTTTCCCCTCACACTTCACTGGCCTTTCTGATCTGCAATTTAGCATTAGGGGCCAGTGCTACAAAGCAGAGGAAAATATGAATGATTGCAGAAATCAACTTGGAAATTTGGAAGACGTTCTCTCAAATTATATAATGTTATTGCAGAATTAAAATGGTACAGTAGTTAGCTTCCCTTGAATTGGTGAAGGAATTTCCTACCTCCTCCTCCCCACCTGCTGCCACCAGCCCACCCACATACACCACCGCATCATAGCTGGGCCTCAAACCAGCATGGATGGCCCTGTGCAGGGGTTTCAAAATGTGAGAACAAAATCGCACACGACTGGCTTTTATAGTCCAAGGCTGTAGGGGTGGACTACAAGGAACCTACGTAAATATGTTTGCATATTTACGTAGAAAGAATAAGGTAAGGCATGTGTTAGATAGAAGAGAAATCAACAGGTACACTTATGAAAGATCACAGTTCATTATAATAGCTGTCACATAATGAGCGCAGGCCGTATGTTAGACCCTGTTTTAAGCAGTTTGTATGTATTAATTCATTGAATTCTCACAACAATCCTTCAGGGAAAGTGCTACTAGCATCATCCCCATTTTGTAGGAGCCTGCTCAGGCACAGAGGGATGAAGTAACATATCTTAATCATCCAGGCATAAAGAGGTAGCAGCTGGATTCAAATCAGCTGTTGTTAGCCTTTACATCACACTGCTGTGCTTATATTATTACGGGGAAATTGAGGAATATTTTCATTTTCAATTTCTTAAAGTTTTCAATGACAATAATAATAATAATAAAGCATAGAGTGTAGGAAGTAAATCAACAGAAGAATATGGAAGAAGTCCCTAATATAGAGGAGAAAGGAAACAAAGGAGGAAAAAAATGTCAGTGCGGAATTAAAATGGAATTAGCAGCAGCAAGGAGAAGACAGATTTGAAAAAGGGAAGAAAACAGAGATTGTATAATAAAAAATGAAAACTAGTTAATTAAACATCCAATTCACCGAGCCTACAACTTTAAGGAAATTACATAGAAAAATGAAATAGACAACTTAAATGTAGAAAATAGTGTGAACTCAAATCATTAAAAAATTGGATTAAAAATATGTACAAGAGCTGATTCTTTGATAAAAGAAGATGCCACTCAATGCAATAAAACAATCCACTACTCAGATTAATCAGGCAGAGATATTAAATACAAGCAGTTATGAGAAAATAGGAGACAGTAGCGTCGAAAATGTATAAAAGCTAATTATAGGGAAAGTACATAAGTAAATGATTTTCTAGGAATTAAAATTTATAATTATAAAAACTTTACATAATCATAATTTACTTATTAAAATTTAATATTTTAAATATAATTTAATTATAACTGTAGAAATTATGATTTCTAGGAATTATACATTTTGTGTTTCTAATTTATAAATCTGAATAAAGAAAAAAATTATACATGTCAAAAAACATCTAAGAAATGAAGAAACTTGTCAAAAAGTTATTCGTTTTAAAACACAGAAACAAATAAATATATTCTAGTAGTTTCACTAGAAAAATTATATGAGAGTTTTAAGGAGCAGAAAATGCCTATTTATCCTGTGCAGAAGAGTTCCAAATAGTTTATATATAGCACTCTATCTTCTGAAAATGGAGCTTAGCTCCTTACTCCTTAAGTGTGACTGGTGCTTGTGACTTCTTCCAGAGTACATTTGTACATATTAATTCATACAAAACATTAAAAGGAGAAAAAGAAAAAAGAGAGTAATTTTACAGTGGAGCAACCTGACAAACACTACCTCAAGCCAGGGGACCAAGATCAACTCAATAGTAAGAAGCCTTGTTGACAGTGTGTGGCCATAATATGATGTGACGGGAATGGCAGTTTACCTCCATGGCCTTCCTCTCAAAAACACATAATTCCAGTCTACATGAGAAAAATATCAGACAAATTTCAATTAAGGGACGCTCCACAAAACACCTGACTGGTGCGTTTCAAAACTATCAAGGTCTTTAGACATTTTCAACTACAAGGTATTTAGAATACATTTTAGAAACAAGGTAAGTCTGAGAAAGTGTCATACACAAGAAGAGTCCAAGGAGACATGACAACTAAATGTAATGTGGTTCTCTATATGGGATTCTGGAACAGAAAGGACATTAGGTAAAACTAAGATAGCTGAATAAACTGTGGACTTTAGTTGTTAATAATATATCACTGTAGGTTTATTAATTGCAACAAACCATAAGATATTAAACCATAAGATATTAAACCATAAGATATTAATAACAGAGGAAATTTTGTGTGAGATATAGAGGAACTCAATACTTCTATAAATCTAAAACTGTTCTAAAATCAAAAATTTATTAAGAAGAAAAATGGCTATGTACCTAAAACATTTCAGGTCATAGATTGAGATGGAAGCTTATAACTTAAAAAAAAATCAAAGCTAGTATAGCAAAAAATAACACACCTATATACATAAACAACATTTTAAGCTCAACTATACACACTAAATAAAATTCTAGCTAAAACACTAGCCAAATACATCATGTTTTTAAATTTTGTAATAGCCTATTAAGAATAAGAAGAGATCATCCCAATAATACAAAGGTGGTAGGCTATTATAATTATAATGAACTTACATAAACTTATTCAGTTGTTATCACAGTGCCTTGATGTAGACTTTATTATTAATTCCATTTTTCAGGCAAAATTTGGGGGCCACAGAGAGCTCAGTACCTTGTCCCAGAACACACAGCTGTAAGTAGAACACACAAGCTGGAATTGGAATGCAGGTGTCTGATTCCAGGATTAAAATACATTTTATAAAACTTATGTATTCCCATAAAAATATTTAAAGGTAGTAACAGAGTAGTTTAATATAATTAAAGAACATGTCATACCAATAACCAGCAGCATACCTAATGGTGTAATGTGAGAAGCAGTCTCAGTAAATGCAAATATAGCTGAGGTGTCCATTCTTACCATTCCTGTTTTGTCCATTTTTTTGAAAATACCAGTGAATTAAATTACCCAGGAGAATGAAATAAGTGTTGCAAATAGTAAACATAATCAACTACATTTTTCATTATTTGTACATAATTTGTCTTTCTTTATTGAATCAAAACCCTTTGAGGAAAAACCTGATGAAAATGATAGGAAAAAGAGCTCAGTTACACAACAATAAAAAGTACTTTACAAAATTTGTGAAGGCCTTAACTGAAAATAACTATTAATTGCAACAAACCATAAGATATTAAACCATAAGATATTAATAACAGAGGAAATTTTGTGTGAGATATAGAGGAAATTTTGTGTGAGATATATATAAAATTCCGCCTTGGACTGAGTAAAAGACCAATACTAGTACATGGGTAGGTATCCCTTCTTGACTAGAAGACAATACTATAAATGTGGCAATCCTTCTGAATTTAATCTGTCATATCAATATGACTGATCAAAATTCCAATGTAGATTTTCATGGATGGTGCATTGGCTGGGTTGGGGATGGGGAACTAAATGCTCTCAGAGTTGAACCAAAGGTAAGAGCTGGAACTTAGCAAGAGCATTACTACACAAAACGAAACCATTCTGTTCATTCCAAGAGCATTTGCTCCCTTTCAGAGCCAAGAAAATGGCATCTTCATACCTTGTGATCATACATTACCTTTGGGATTTCTCTACAGGGATAGTGGATGAACTCTTCCCGCTGTTGTCAAACTAATGTATTTGGACTCAACCACAGGGATATCCCCAGAGTTCCTATGGAACACTAGCAAATTTTGTGTAAGCATAGATTATAGTATTAAGATGAAGTTTAAATACTTCTATGATCTAACCATCGCCTATTTTTAAAATTTCATCTCTCCCCAGCCCCAGACAAACTAATCCTCCATGTTTCCTGGTTATAAATGGCACATCCAGCTATCCCAGCTGCCCAAGCAGGGAACTTGGGAGTCATTTCCAGCAATTTCCTTTCTGTCACTGTCCATATCCAATTGGTCACTGCTCCCAGCCAATTCTTTCTCTAAATCAGTTTCTTCCCATTCCCATTCTAATCCTCTCATCCCAGAGCCCTACCTGAAAAGCTCTCCCCTAATGTTTGTTCTGACCAACTCTACACATTCTTCAAGTCTCTGTTTGAGAAATGCTTCTGAGGGAGCCACCTCCCCCATTACCTCCCAGGGGACAGAAGTCCACTACACAACTATAGAGGAATGTCTCTCTCTCTCTGTATTTCTGCATCTCAGACAGATACCAATCCTCTCCTTCTTCCAGACTTAGGGAGAGTGGGAGAAAAGCATTCTGATTGTGACTTTGCATGCCCTTCTCCTCTCAGGCTTTTGTTCAGTCCGACATGGGCTGGCCCTCATCTTGCAGCTCTGTAATTTTTCAATTTACACCCAACAAATGAACTTGAGCATTGCCATTCCGGCTATGGTGAACAACACAGCTCCACCTAGCCAGCCCAATGCCTCCACAGAACGGCCCTCCACTGACTCCCAGGACTACTGGAATGAAACTCTAAAAGAATTTAAAGCAATGGTAAGTTTAATGAGACTCTGGACTCTTTCTTTGACTCAAATAATTTGACTTAAAGACTTAGAGTGAGATTCATTTAACCACTAAGTATTTACTGAACATGTACTATGTGCCAGGAATGGCACAAGTACCTAAGTATCAGGCCAAGCATGGTGGCTCACACCTGTAATCCCAGCACATTGGGAGGCCGAGGCGTCCTTACTAAAAATATGAAAGTCAGCCAGGCATGGTCGTAGGCACCTGTAATCCCAGCTACTCTGGAGGCTGAGACAGGAGAATTGATTGAACTGGGGAGGCGGAAGTTGCAGTGAGCAGAGATCGTGCCACTGCACTCCAGTCTGAGTGACAAAGAGATTCTGTCTTAAAAAAAGAAAAAAGAAAAGAAAAGAAAAGAAAAGAAAAGAAAGGAATAAAGAATATAATAAGTATCTAAGGGGATTGCGTCACTACTTAGTGTCTATGAGTGTAACCAGGGGCTAAGTTAGAATAAATGAAAAATTTTACCATTTAGGGGACATAAATTCTTCCCCTACAATGATGAAAATCTGTACAAAATATATTTCACAGATTTGTCCACTTTCTCTTCCTTCCACATATTTTTAAAATTACCTTGCTTACGATGCTTTCTTCTTTATAGACTTTGTTTCTTTACGAGCTCTCTTATATTTTAATTTTTGGTTAATTGTGTCAGGGTGAGTGGAAAGAGTATGTTGGGCATATATTTTAAATACATGATACTGGTATATTGGGGCAACTGAAGAGATGTAAAAAGAAAGATAACTGCCAATTATTTTTTTGCCTCTCAAGGCCTCACAATGAAAACTGTCAATTCTTCAACTAAAGACAAACAGTAACTCTCTTTGTCGTCTAGGCCCCTGCATATGACTGGAGTCCTGAAATCCAGGGAGTCATCCTCAGCTCCCTCAACTATGGCTCATTCTTGGCTCCAATCCCTAGTGGCTATGTGGCTGGAATATTTGGAGCCAAATATGTGGTTGGTGCTGGCTTGTTTATTTCCTCATTCCTGACCCTCTTCATTCCACTGGCAGCTAATGCAGGAGTGGCCTTGCTCATTGTCCTCCGGATTGTACAAGGCATAGCCCAGGTACCAAGATGTTTTCCAGGTATAAGTAGAATATAGGTTCCAGAATGACCTTAGATCTCCAAGAATGGAATTTTTCCCCCCAGGTTATGGTATTAACTGGTCAATATTCAATTTGGGTCAAATGGGCTCCCCCACTGGAAAGGAGTCAACTCACCACCATTGCTGGATCAGGTAATTGATACCCTAAACCCCACTTTTTATGCACTGCCCAAGAGAACTCAGCAAAGTCCTGTCAATAGAACCAAGATCTTATATATCAATCACTCTGTCTTCATAGTCCTTGCTTTAAAGCACTACCCCATACTGCCTTTCTTGATTGTAACTGAATGACCTGAATGCTTACTATGTGCCAAACATTCTTGTGTTTTGCACATATTTTCATCTTATCCTCAAAGCAATTTTATAAGTCAGCTGTATATAATTACTTCCATTTCACATATATGGAATTTCAGACACAAATAGAGTAATAACTTGTCCAAGATCACATAGTTACCAAGTGAAGGAGCAGGATTTGAACCTAGATAGTTTGACTTGAAACTCATACCTTCCCTCACTGTGCAACTCAGCATTGTAGAAAGCACATAGAGCCCCAGGATGGGTCCTCTCACCCAGAACATCCTCGCTTTTTCTGTTCAGGGTCAATGCTGGGGTCCTTCATCGTTCTACTCGTTGGTGGTCTTCTTTGCCAGACCATAGGATGGCCTTATGTCTTCTATATCTTTGGTGAGTTTGCTTTTCAAATCTCAAATTTTTATGACAGAGAATTCTGTGATTCAATTTGTCTATGGTTAACCAAATCCTAATAGATATGGATATTTACATAGCTAAAGCTGGTAGTGTTCAGAGTCAACTGTGTTTAACATTTAAGTTTCAGCAGCCTTGAGTGTGTAGGTAGAACAATCTTATGACGTTAGAGGCATCATAACATTCCTTACTGCTTCTAAATTTAACCTAAAGGAATTCAGAGCAAATTATTTCATAAGATGTTGAAATCTGGCCGGGTGCGGTGGCTCAAGCCTGTAATCCCAGCACTTTGGGAGGTCGAGACGGGCGGATCACGAGGTCAGGAGATCGAGACCATCCTGGCTAACCCGGTGAAACCCCGTCTCTACTAAAAAAAAAAATACAAAAAGCTAGCCGGGCGAGATGGCGGTCGCCTGTAGTCCTAACTACTCAGGAGGCTGAGGCAGGAGAATGGCATGAACCCAGGAGGCGGAGCTTGCAGTGAGCCCAGATCGCGCCACTGCACTCCAGCCTGGGCGACAGAGCGAGACTCTGTCTCAAAAAAAAACAACAAAAAAAAGATGTTGAAAATGTTATCTTAGGCTAGGCGTGGTGGCTCATGCCTGTAATCCTAGCACTGTGGGAGGCTGAGGCAGGTGGATCACATGAGGCCAGGAGTTTGAGACCAGCCTGGCCAACATGGTTAAACCCCATCTCTACTAAAAATACCAAAATTAGCCGAGCATGATGCTGCATGCCTGTAATCCCAGCTACTCAGGAGGCTGAGGTGGGAGATCGCTTGAACCCAGGAGGGTGAGGTGCAGTGAGTCGAGATCACACTACTACACTCCAGCCTGTGTGACAGAGTGAGGACCCTGTCTCAGAGACAAAAAAAAAAAAAAATTTTTTTAAAAGAAAATGTTATTTTAGTCAGACTACATTTTAGTCATGCTTTTTATTTTTTTATATTCTTTAAAATTTCTCCAGCTATTATTATGGCAAAAACCACAATTTTTTTTTTGCACCAACCTAGTATCATAGCCAGAAAGTTGTGTGACTGTGACCTAATCATAGGTAAAATGCTAATTAGAGTAAGAATCAACCAGTGGAGGCTGCAGGACAGGGCAGATTATGTAAGGTTCAGAAGCAGACATAATATACAGAGAGATGCTACAGAATTTTTTTAAAGACACATGGAAAGTTCCAGAGGCAGTATTTTACTACGTTACAGTTTTTTTTTCGTGGAACTGTGGTTGGAATCCGCTTAGCTTCTGTCAGCTAAAGTTTGTTCAATATTTGAAACATTCTCCAAAATCCCACCCCTAAATTGTTTATGGTAATTCTTTTTTTTCCCACTAGTGTGTTCATTAGCGGGCGGGCCTCTTAGATCAAGGGTTTCTGTAAAATCAGGTCAATATATTCACCAAAAAAAATATGTAATGATTCCACAGCACACCAACCTTCAAAGTTTTTATCATGAAAACATTCAAAGGGCAGATTACAAAAATTATTCAAACAACGAGAAAATCTTACTGTGCTTATGGTTTCGAGAAACAGTAAGGAGCATATACACAATAGAAACTCACTCAATATTTGTTGAATAAATATTAACATCCTCCAACTCCAATGTGCAACATTGCTAATTTTCATATCTATCCCTCCCCACTTGATTAAGTTCCCTGATGGCAAAATTGTGTCTTTATCATTTTATATTCTTAAAATGTAGCATTTTTTTTGGTGTATAGTGGCTGCTGTATGATATTTGTGAAGGAATTTGTAAATGACATGCTAGCCAAACAAAGAGAGCTCATAAGATTTCTTAAGATTCTAAAAAGGGAATTTGAAGATGGGCCATATTTCCACTCAATACTGATAATGTTAAATCCCCAACTCTTTTTTTATGTATATATCAGAAAAATGTCTTTGCTGAGGATTAATTTCATTTCATTTTTTTTAATTGGGTAATTAATTCCACATAATAGTGTACTGCTTCTCACTCATATTTTTTTTGAGGAAGATAAGAGAGAGATATGGAAAGGTTTAATGATGAAAGGAACTTTTTTTTGCATGACTAGCAGGAGGGATGCCGACTGGTATGTGAATGGTGAGGGCATTTTCAAGCACGTGGGGCAAACATGCTACTAACTTGTAAGTGTGCTATAGCTTTATTTTTTTTGCATTTCAAAACCTCCCAAAACTCAGTGGTTTAAAACAATAATCATTTTTTTTTGTGGTTCTTTGTGGGACAGCTGGGTGGCTCCACTGTCTGTGTCTGTCATTTTTTTTGGTCAAAGGATGAGCTGGAGCATAGTCTTCCAATAGCAGTGCACAAGTTTTTTTAGGATAAGTTTAAAAAGAAATGTTTTTTAACGCCTAGACTTGAAACTCCTCCATGCCATTGGCAAAAGCAAGTTGTATGGCCAAGGCCAAAGTCAAGTGGTGAGGAAGTACCCTCCCCCTGTGATAGGGCCATGCAAGGGATAGATGCCAGGAAGAGTTTTTTTTTGAGGCTAGTCACTCTGCCAACCACAGGAATCATCCTAGAGTCAAACTTTTTTTTGTACTTCCATCCATCCAGTGCTAACTGGATCCTCTTTTCCTAGGAGGATTTTTTTGTGCCTGTTGTCTTCTCTGGTTTCCTCTCATTTATGATGATCCTGTGAATCATCCCTTTATCAGTGCTGGTGAGAAGAGATACATTGTGTGTTCATTGGCTCAGCAGGTACATTGAGAAATTCCTCTGACATTTCTCTATGTCCCTCTAGATGTCTCATTTTTTTAGAATGCGATAGAGAGAGCTGCCTTCTGATGGAGGGGACATTGCTGTGTTTTTTTTTCTAGGACTGTTCACCAGGCTGGTCTCTTCCCATTAGGGCTATGATCTTTTTTTTACCACTCTGGGCCATTTTAATCTCTTATTTCTGTGAATACTGGCTTTTTTTTTTAATTATGGCGTACACACCAACGTACATCAGCTCGGTACTTCAAGCCAACCTCAGAGATGTAAGTATAGAGAAAGCTCATTCTGATCTTCTGTTTAAATGCTTAAATATAGGGAGCTCATATATAATCCTGTGTCTCTCCCATGGTCACAAAATCGGGGTTTTTTTACCAGGACCTCCATGTAGGAAATGGAGTCTAGTTAATTTGGATTCTGATTGATCTCAATGTGGTTCACTACTTACTGCAGCAGGATGATACGTATGGTTCTAGGTCCGTTTGATTTTCATATACTATCATATTTTAAGGGCCCTGTGCAAAATTTTTATTTTTTTTCCAATCAAAATTTGCAAACAAGATGCTCTGCTGGTAGCATAAATAATTTTTTTTAGCAAAACAAATTCTGCCTCTGAGAAAATTGTGACAGAGAAACATAAACAACATATGCTGAAAATAAGATATTAATAGGACATAAAGTCCCAAAAAAGACTTATTTTTTTATTTGTGGAGTAATGTTTGTTTTAAAAAATCATTTTCATTGTTCAGTTTTTTTTTATGAGTGAGAACATGCGGTGTTTGGTTTTCTGTCCTCGGGAAGGGGAATTTTTTTCACCAGGGCCTATCATGGGGTGGGGGGAGGGGGGAGGGATTGCATTGGTTTTTTTACCTGATGTAAATGACGAGTTGATGGGTGCTGACGAGTTGATGGGTGCTTTTTTTCAACATGGCACAAGTATACATATGTAACAAACGTGCACCTTATGCACATTTTTTTTAGAACTTAAAGTATAATAATAATAAAAAAAAATCATTTTCATTCAACTATAACACATAGAAAGAAAAGTGCATATATGTGTACAGCTCTCTGAATTTTCACATTTTTTTCAGATGCTCTGAATGGCTGACAGGAGCCTTTCAATTCCTGCTAGACGGATGTCTTAAAAGTGGCTAAGAGTGTATCAGATTTCATAACCTGTTAGTGACAGTTTTTTTTTCCAGTGTTACTCTTGTACTCTCTGTACTCAGGAAGAAGCTTTCTCATATTTTTTTGGTTCCTCTGGTGAAAATGTGCTAAGTAGCCAAAAGAGAGCTGATCTTTTTTTTTGTAGTCAGCATCTGCATGCAAGCAAGCTGCAGGCACTGAGATTAGAAAGCCCCAGGAGGGAGTGGCTCTGGGTCTTTTCAAAGAGGAGGAGGGCCAGAAATTATTTTTTTACCTTAATCCAGGGGATCAGGGGACCAGATAAGCAAGAGGCCAGCGCTTTTTTTTAGACTTCCTGAGGCTGGCTGTTGGGAATGGCTGTTGGGAATGATTTGTCTCTGGTGTGAGGCTGGGTGGGCTTGACCCTCAGAGGCCAAGGCTGAGGAAGAGGAAGATGGGAGAATGAATGGAAAGACAAGTTGTGACCAGAAAGCAGAGCCTTCCAGGCTAAAAAGTTAAGAGACCTGGATTCTCATTGCCCTCAGGGTATTTTCTCACTGATTTTTTTAACCTTGACAGCCTTGGCTTACTCATCTGTAAAATGAACTACTTGAACCAGGTGAGAGCTGAATCCTTTCCATTGTTTGGATTATATACAACAGAGGAGTCTCTTTTTTTTTGCATTTTATTCAATAGAATTTTAATTTACAAGTTTAATTGATAACATTTTTTTTCAACATTTTAAAAACTATATTGAAACATAGAGTGGGTCAGGCGTGATTTTTTTTGTCTGTAATCCCAGCACTTTGGGAGGCCGAGGCAGGTGGATCATCTGAGGTCAGGTGTTCGAGACCAGGCTGGCCAACATGGTGAACCCCCTGTCTCTACTAATTTTTTTATAATTAGACAGGCGTGGTGGCGGGTGCCTGTAGTCCCAGCCACTTAGTTTTTTTAGGCATGAGAATCGCTTGAGCTGGGAGGCGGAGGTTGCAGTGAGCCGATTTTTTTACATTGCCCTCCAGCCTGGGCAACAAGAGCAAAACTCCATCTAAAAAATTTTTTTGAGTGAAAAATCTTTCTTTCATTACTCATTGCTTTTCCTAATCTGCCCTGTCCTCCCAGACCATTCCAATGATCATTCTTTAAATTTCTTTTTTCTTTTTCTTTTTTTTTTTTTTCTTTTGACACAATGTCTCACTGTGTTGCCCAGGCTGGAGTGCAGTGGTTCAATCATGGCTCACTAAAGCTTTGACCTCCCAGGCTCAAGCAATCCTCCTACCTCAACCTCCCGAGTAGCTGGGACCACAGACGTGTACCACCATGCCTGGCTATTTTTTTGTGGAGATGAGGTCTTGTTATATTGGCCAGACTGGTCTTGAACTCCTGAGCTCAAGTGATCCTCCCACTACAGTCTCCCAAAGTGCCGGGATTATGGGTGTGATTTTTTTTGGCTGGCCTAAATTTCCTATATATATTCTTTTCTTGTTTCTTTATGAGAATGCAAGCATACACAAATATATATTCTTATTTTCCCAACTTTTTAAATACAAAACAGTATACTCTGTACTCTGTAATATGCCGCTATGCTTATATACTAGGTTTTTGCTTTTTTTTATGTCATGGAAATCTTCACATCAGTACATGAGAACCTTGCTGAGCAGTATTTGGATTGTTTCCCATCTTTGAGCAATGTTGCAGTGAAAATCTTGTTCATTTGTCACACCTTTGTGCAACTCTCTGTGGAATAAATTTCTACATATGAGATTATTGATTTTTTTGGTAAATGCACTATAAACTTTTATATTTGTTGTCAAATTAACCTCAATAGAGCACCAGTAATATTTGTGAGAACCTGATTCTCCACAGTGTTAGCAACAGAGCTTTTTTTAAAAAAAAAAGGTGTTTTTTGCCAATTTGATCCATGAAAAATAGTGTCTTTTTTTAGTTTTATTTTGTTTTCTTTCATTATGAGCAAAGTTGGATACATTTTATTTTTTTTAGGAGCCACTTATTTTTTCTTTTTTTCTGTAAATTGTCTGTTATTATTTTTTTTCTATTTTTCTACTGGATTTTGGTCTTTTAAATATTTATTTCCAGGTGATTTTTATATATAAAGAGAGCATTAGTTCTTGTTTATTTTATTTATTTATTTTTTTTTTTTTTAGAGCTATGAACATATACATACTAAAACTATATTGGCTCATTATGGTATTTTTTTATTTGTATTAAAAGTGATGTGTATATAAAGAAAAGCCGCAAATGTGGACAATCTGTCCAAGGTTGTCTGTGTCATGATGTGGGTGGTAAGGGCGCATGTACCTGACCTAGTCTCTGGTCCTCAGAGTGGGATCCTGTCTGCCTTGCCGTTTGTTGTTGGATGTATCTGCATTATCCTTGGAGGTCTATTGGCAGACTTTCTTCTCTCCAGAAATTTTTTTAGACTCATCACCATCAGGAAACTCTTCACTGCCATTGGTAAGGGCGAGGCTGGACACAGGGGTGAATGTGGGAAGCTCAGAGCAGCCTCCAGTTTATTCTGTGTTTTTTTTCCTACCCCAGGGGTTCTCTTCCCATCTGTGATCCTCATGTCCCTGCCTTTTTTTAGATCCAGCCACAGCATGACCATGACCTTCTTGGTGCTGTCTTCTGCCATCAGCAGCTTCTGTGAATCAGGAGCCCTTGTTAACTTCTTGGATATTGCTCCTCTTTTTTTACCTCTTTTGCCTCATCCTCTCAGAAACTCAGTTCAAGTCTAGCAGCCTTTTTTTTACTCCGATGTGAAAGTAAAATTGGCAGGTGCAACAGGTTGCAGGAAATGTCAGCACCGGCTCTACACCCTACATTTAAATAATTCCTGGAAGAGACTCAAAGTTTTTTTACCATTGTGAACTTAGTTTTTCTGGGCATGAACAAGAGGAGTCAGTGGTTTTTTTCAGAGTCAACTGAGGGAGACTCACACAAATCTCTCTCTGTTGAGGAATTTTTTTTTTGCCTAAGGTGGAATCACTGAAAGAATTCTTTAGATTCTATAGGGCATTTTTTTGAAAATCTTTAATAAAGGCAAAGGACACAGGACTGCAGGGGAAATATCTTTTTTTGATACAGTAAATAGAGAGTTGACTGACACTTACAAACATAGCTCCCAGGGTCCTGTCCCAGTCAACAGGACATCCTTCATCTTCAGATAATGAACCACCAAGATTTTTTTGAGAGGCCTTTCTCTCAGAGGAGCCAATCTCTCATCTGCTGAGGGGTCTTTTATACCCAAGGAGGGTATAAAAGTTACAAGATCAGACTCAACAGCAGAAGCCTTTTTTTCAACAACAAAAACCTTACAAACCAGGTGCAGACCATCAATCTGACCATTTTTTTTAAACAATGTTGACAAGTTAATAGAGGTTACCCGCTTGGGAGTACCAATTTTTTTTACAGGATTATACTAATCTTTAGTCAGTACATTTCATTCAGGTTTCACCAAGGCTTACACAATTCCAGCCATCCCCACAGATAAGCACAGAGTTGCAACAGACCTTTTTTTATTAACCCTTTGTTTGCACGGGAATGTTTCCCTCCTTCTCTCAGGTATTGAGACTTTCAAATGTAGGTATACTTGGGTATAATAGAGTACGATCTCTCTCTCTTTTTTTTACTGGCTTTCTCAAAGGACTATTACAAGTCTTTGCACACATAGCTGGAGCCATCTCTCCCACTGCTGCTGGATTTTTCATCAGTCAGGTGAGGTCAAATGTTCTTTTTTTTATTCATAAGAGAAACCTATAGAGGCATGGTGTTTTCACATTTGCACGTTTTTTTATCCTACAAGATGCATTTAAAGTAGTAAAAAATAAACTAGTTTACATGTTTTTTTAAGACTAAAGAAACTTAAGACTCTTAAGTTTCCTAAGAATCTTACTGGTTTTTTTTTTACATGAATAGAGAAATATGTGGCATTCTTCTTTTCTGCCATATACTTCATTTACTGGTGAAAAACATTGCCATATACCATTTACTTACAGTGAAAAACCATTTTTTTGTTAAAGAATGACTTTCCTGTGGTTTTGCACCAGTAAATCAGAAAAATTTTTTTTGAATAACAAAGAAAGCGTATTCTTTATGAAATCAAGGCGCTTATCTTTTTTTTTTCTTCAGTTCCCTCCCAGGCACTGACTAACAAGCTGTCAGGAAATGGTTTTTTTTTATGGAAATCCTCAAACTGCTCTTGTTTCTCCTGACATTCATTGACTTATTTTTTTATTCATTCATTCATTCAATAAATAAGTATTAAACATTAGTATGTGCCATTTTTTTTTTAAGTGAATGAAACACAATTCCTTTCCTTGTGAAACCTATATTGTATTTTTTTAACTGAAGGAAATCTATGAAAATAAAACATATGACATATTGAAGGTAATTTTTTTATAGCAAATGCTTAGCAAATGCTAAAAGGAGAATAGCGCACAAGGGATTTTTTTTCTATTTTAATCACGATGGTCAAGGAAGGACTCACCGTAACCACTTGCTTTTTTTTGAACATTTAAGCAAGGACTGAAAGGAAGTGGAAGTGTGAGACAAATAGATATCTGGGGGAGGAGTGTTCCAGCCAAGGAAATGCCGTGCTCTGGCCTCATGGCAGAAATGTACTTGAGTATTCCAGGACCAACTGGGAAGCCCATGGAAGCCAGAGTGGAGGTCGAGGAGGGAGCAGTAGGACACAGAGCCAAAGCCTTTCTGAACCAAGAGGTTTTTTTACTGGGTGACAGTTAATAACTTGTAATTTTCTGCCTCCAGGATTCAGATTTTTTTTGGAGAAATGTCTTCTTGCTTTCAGCTGCTATTAACATATCGGGCCTGTTTTTTTACCTCATCTTTGGCCGAGCAGATGTACAGGACTGGGCTAAAGAGCAGACATTCACCCACCTCTGAGCAAACTGAGAGATGTGCTAGATCCTAGTGCTTAGTTGTTTTTTTTTTTCCCTCAGAGACATTTCCCTTTCATGCCTGCTTGACTGGTAAGCTTTTTTTTAGACCCTGTATATAATACTAAAGATTTTACTATGCCTGGAGATTTTACAGAGGAAGAAAACAGGCTAGTTATTTAACTGCAAGCTACCAAAAGCAAAGCTGTGTTTTTTTTTCTGTGTTCTCCACTCTTCCACTGTTATCCTGATAAAAGCATCAGGGTTTTTTTACAATTTCTTTCCAAAGCAAAAGAGGAAGCCAGACCTTGGGACTGAGAACTGAGAATCACAAACGAGTTGTACCCAACATGCAGAAGATGAATCCTCAGAGCTTTTTTTTAAAGAAAGCCCCAAACAACAGAATGCATAGTGTTTTCCATTGTTGGTGAAAAATGTCAAGGAGGAAAGAACAATAATGATTCCATCATGACAAGAGGAATGAATTTTTTTGCAACTAATTGGAGCAAGATAGTACACTTTAACTCTTTCCGACAACTTCCATTCTGTGGATGCCAGCTTTGGAATCAGAGCCGCCTCTGGAATACCTGTGCTTCCAGAATCAGCTTTTGGACAGTTACCTTCTTTCTGGCCATTTTAACCTCTGCCCCTTTTTTTCTTTTTGGCTCGGTGCAGATCTTTAACATGTTAGTGAATGGACATTGCTTTTTTTCTCTCCTAGCCCTTCCAACAGATCTTCATGTGTCACTGCTTTTGGACATTTTTTTATGATGTCTGCCTTCATGTGCCCTTCTGACTGTTGGAATCCCACACACTTTTTTTTAGGATTCAATTCAATGTGGAACCATTCAACATTCACCTCATTAACCTTTTTTTTCTTCCAAAGATGTATGTAAGACACACACTGCCCTAACCTCACTCCAAATGTCTGGAGAAATGTGTGCAGTGCTTTTGTTAAAGCCTCTATATGGGCAGCATGGTTTTTTTTAAGACAGTAAAACCATTTCAACACGAAATGAATATTAATGCACACACTTTTTTTGGGGATGGCAGAAATCAAAACCATACACAGTATTAAGGAATTCAGTATTTTTTTTGGGCAGATAACTTTAATCAAAGTATCACACAAGTGAATGTGTAATAACTTTTTTTATAACAAGTGGTTACATGGGTTATGAGAGTGGATGATAAGTGCACTAATTTTTTTGTAAGGAAGGGCCACCCCTGCAAAGTTGCAGCTGAGCTGGGATCTGAATTTTTTTAGTTAACTAGTGTGGGAGACTGACGGGAGAACGTTTTAGGAAGAAAGATTTTTTTAAGCTAAAGTTTCATGGCAGGAAGGAGCAATTAGGTATCCCAGAGGATTTTTTTTAAGGGAAGTATGATTTGTGAGGAGGCTATAGAAGAATTAAGGTCAGGAGCACACAGGATGATGTGGGCCCAGTGAATGCGTTGGTCTTTGTTTTGAAATCAGTGGGAAGTGTCCTTGTTTTCAAAGGCTACTCTGCATGAGAGATTAGGTTGGAGTAGTTTTTTTCAGTGTAGTCCAGGAGAGAACAATGGTCTCTGGCATGAGGGAATAGACTTTTTTTGAGGTGAATGGATTATTTGATTTAGGTGGATTATTGGATTTAGGGAATTTTTTTTACAGACCCCATAACTAAGTGAGAGAGTGGAAGATGTCCAGAGTAACTCCTGAGTTTTGGTTTGCTGTTATATTAATGCGGATGCCTCTCACACAGATAGCAATTATACCCAAGTGAAGACAACAAGAAGGAAAATGGACACATGACTCTGGATTTCTCTTTTTTTATCTAGGCTACATTTACAAACGTATAAATCATCTTGATACAGGCAGTGATTACAATTTTTAGCATGGATGAGACTTCCCATGGGTGAAAGTGGCATAAGAAAATTTTTTTTGGGAATAAGCCTTAAAGAATTCCAGTATTTAATGGTCAGCTGGAGGATTTTTTTCAGAAAGAAAGAAAAAAAAAAAAAAAAAAAGAAAGAAAGAAAGAAAAATTTTTTTAGAAAAAAAAAAGAAAAGAAAGAAAAAGAAAGGGCCTGAAAGATAAAATTTTTTTCAAGAGAATATGGTGCTAAGAAAGGGAAGGGAAGAGAGAATGTTTCCATTTTTTTTGAATAGTTACCAATGCCAAATTTGCAGTGATCCATCCAGATGAGAAGTTTTTTTAAGGTACAGAAAGGAGACCACTGCTGAGAAGTTTGGGTATGAAAGGGATTTTTTTTTTGATTTTGTGTTGCTATAAAGGAATGCCTGAGGCTGGGTAACTTATTTTTTTTAACAGGTTTATTTGGATTGTGATTCAGATGGCTGGAAAGTTCAAGATTTTTTTTTTGCATCTGGTGAGGGCCTCAGGCAGCTTCTGCTCATAGTGGAAGGTGATTTTTTTAAGGCCTGTACAGAAAGCACATGGTGAGACAGGAAGCTGGGAAGGGGAGAGGAGGTGCCAGGTTTTTTAAAACAAGTAGTTCTTGTAGGAATGAACTCACTCACTCCTGAGGAAGAGCTTTAATTTCACTAGGGATTCACCCTTACGACACAAGCACCTCCTGCAAGTGGACCCAACATTGGGATCAAATTTCAATATTAGATTTGGAGGGAATTTTTTTCTAAACCATAGCAGAAGGAAAGAGGCAAGAAAGTAGCTGCAAAAGCATTTTTTTTCAAATAAGGAGTTAAAAATAAACATGTTTAAGATTGTGAGAAGCTGCTTTTTTTTAGAAAAGTTGCATATGCAAAAAACACAACAGACTACTGGAAAGTTCCTTTTTTTTTTGTGACAAGGGAGGAATTTTGTGACCTGAAGCCCAGTTAGGAGAATGATGATAAATGGTGTGAGGACAGCTCCTGCCTTTTCACCCGATGGCCCAAGATGGTTTTTTTTTCTGCTAGTGCAAGATCCAGGGAGGGTCTTATATTTATATCTTTCTTCTTTTTTTGAAGAGAGGCAGTAAGTGGAGAAAGAAAAATGTCTGAAGTGCTCTTGTCAGACCAGAGGAGAGAGGCCCTGCAGGTTTCCTGGCAGGGCTGTAGCCACGCTGTTTTTTTTCTGCTTCATTTATGACAGTTTCTTCTACATAGTCTGAATACAAACTCCTTTTTTTCAGGAACCATGACATTCATTATTTTGTAACATTGTTAACACAAAGAACTTTTTTTTCATATACAGTAAGTGCCAGTAAATGCTATTGAATCACAGTATGAATCTTTTTTTGAACAGTTCTAGAGTGGTGGGAGAACAGTTAGGGGAGAAATGGATAGGTTTTTTTAGGACCAGATTTTTCTTTAATTCTATTTGTTTTCTGAGCATCGAGTCATCTAAACCTTTGGATTATCTTTCTTCATTTGGAATTAAGATGTTAGAGTCTGGGTTTTTTTTATATCATTTCTCCAGCAGTCACCAAGCCAACCCCAGGCTCTCATCAGTGACAATTAAAATGCTGCCCACCAGGGCACAACAAGATCACTTGCTTGTTTCTGAGTTTTTTTATGTCTGCATTTGTTCATCTCTTTTCCTTCCCCGGATCCTATTCTTTCTTTCTTATCTGTCACTTTCAGTTATATCTGAAAATGAGTTACATTTCTCCCTGGGTTTTTTTACGAGGGAGGTGACTTGTGCTGTTTCCTCTAAAATGGGCCATCCTTAATTTTTTTAAATCTCCTAAAATTTTGCACTAGCTCATACATCTACAATGAGAAAGATTTTTTTTTGAAAACTGTGGAAAAGTCTTTCATGAAGCCTTAGAATAAAATTTTATCTTGTGTGTGTTTATTGGTTTAACAATCATTTATAAAGCAACTGATGCAGAGAGGAAGAGGAAGACTGAGATAAATCACCACCCCCATTTAAAATTCAGATATATTACATGTTACAAACAATACATGTTAAAAAACGATGCACACAGGGTATGTGGGAGGGTAAAACCAGCCCCTAGGATTCTTCCTACCACCTTCTTCCTGGTGCTAGTGACTGCCCCTTTTTTTTAGCCTTGTGTGCTGGTCCTTCTTCCCTTCAATAAGGAAGTTGTCCCATTTTTTTCAAGTGCTCTATTTCACACTAAGTTTTGTAAACAAAGAAAAAAATAGTTTTTTTTAGTATCATTGGTGAGTCCTTGTACCCAGAGGACATAAGAAAGCTTTTATTTTTTTCAAAAAGATGGTCTCGTGTATTATATTTTTCTCAAGTTGTCTTCCTTGCCTCAGTGATAGGTTATCCTAAGCATTTTTTCACACTTCTCTCCTCTGGACGTAAAAATAAATATGGCTGTCTGTGCAAGTTTATCATCCTTCCTCTTCCCTATTCTCAATTTTTTTTATGTAAAAGATCCAAACAACTTCAAAATTTTGCTAGGTCCAGGCACATTTTTTTAAACCATCCATCAGTTGTTCTGTATCTATGTTGTATCCTGAAAACAAAACAAATCCAAACGAAGCAAAAAAACACAGGGCATACCAGTGGGGTTTGACACTCATTTTTTTTGATACTGCCTCTCTCCCTAATAAGAATGTATTTTATCCACAGCAATATTTTTTTATACCTTTTGTACTGTTACCAAATTCTCATTCTTTGTAAACCAACTCGTTATTAAGAAAATGAAAATAAAGCCCCCCTTTGTGGTCCTGCACCCACCACATACTCTTTTTTTATGAACCCTACCCAAAAGTGTCACTAGTCCTTTCAAAGAACAATTGTTTTTTTCTGTGTTAACTGGGATAGTGACCTCTGGCAAGTTGGGCTGAAACTGGGCTTTACCTGGTTAGTAGGTGTCCAGATTAACTCCTCCGAAGTCATATTCTCCAAATTTTTTTAAGAGGGAGTGGCCAAGGTTCTAAACTGAGGTGTCAATCCAGGGGCCTTTTTTTTGTAACAGTGAGAAAGGCACACACGATCTTTCCTTTGTATTGAAAATTTTTTTTTTCATTTTGTATTTGAAGTTTTATTAGTTATTAAAACATGGCATCCATACTTTTTTTCATTTTCTGGGTTTTCCAGTGGAAACAGCTGCTTACATTGCCTAATAATTTTTTTAACATGCTGCAGATGTTTCCACATGTTAGCTGAATATATGTATTCCCTTTTTTTTGGCAATCACGATGCATCTTATCCTAGGGAGACAATATGTGTTGCTATATTTTTTTACTTGAGTCAGGGTAATTTATAAAGAAAAGAGGTTTATTTTGGCTCATGGTTCTGCAGTCTTTACAAGAAGCATGATGCCAGCGTCTGCTTCTGGTGAGGGCCTCAGGAATCTTCCAATCACGGCAGAAGGTGAAAGGGGAGTCAGTGCATCACATGGTGAGAGCTGGGGCAATAGAGAGAGAGATGGGAGGTACCACACACTGTTATACAACCATATTCTCTCCTGAACTCAGAGTGAGAACTCACTCATTATCCAAAGGACAGTATCAAGCTATCATGAGGGATCTGAACCCATGACCTGAACACCTCATACTATGCCCCACTTTCAAAATTAGGAATTACATTTCAACATGAGATTTGGAGAAGACAAACATCCATTTTTTTCCTTACAGATATTGTTCAGGATGTAATAAAAAACCAGTCATACGGCTCTAAAACAGTTCAGGTTACATAAAAGTTAAAGTCTCAAGAGAGTGTAGATGAAGAAAGGCTTTGTAAGAATTTTAA